CTCGACCTTTTAGCCAAGATAAAGTATAGTAGGAAGATTAATGGTAAAATAGGAGTTCAAGGTAAAATCAAGTAAAGAAGTTAATAGACAGAATATGGCTAGGTAACACAACTTCTTACTCTTAATATTATCTTACACTGTAAGTTTTTATTATTGATATCTCATTGGCACCTCCAATATGTGTGATTTGAACCCACTGAGAAACCCAAACTATATAGAAAGTGTCATTTGTGTTCCGAACTATTCAATATTTCATTTATGTCCCAATATATGATAGTTGTGTGTTAATTGTTATTTATATCCTGACGATTTCGTTAACGGTTGACCAGAGGATTTTGGGATTTTTATAACTTTTTTTTATATTTCCTATATTATGTTTTTAGATGAAATATAAATATAAATTAATATTTAAAATTCCATATCAGATGCCACGTCGACATTGACTGAATTTTATGTTAAACATTAACGGTTCGGCCAACACTAACGAAGAAATAGTTGGATGATAACATTACATTGTGCTGTGCAGTTCTTAAAGTTTTTAGGTAATTAGATTAACTAAATTATGCAAACACACTTATGGTCTCGACACTCATAGCAAAAAATCTTCCAGCAATCTGAAATGTCTTTGCAATAACGCTCATAATTGTCCTTAGTTAATGGTGGGGTTAATTGCATGGTTGGTCACTGAGATTACAAAAAACGTTCATGTTTGGTCACTGGAAATATTTAAATCCAATCTTGGTCACTAAGTTTACTAAAATATGTCATGTTTGGTCACTCTCCGTTAGTCTCCGTTAGCTTCCGTTAATGGCGTTAGTTTTCTGCTGACGTAACTAACAGAATTGTCCAATCAGCCTATTTTAACCCAAAAAAATGTATACCCGACCCGCCACATCATCAAAATTTCAATCCAACCCATTAACCAACCCAAACTAAACCTATACACCACAACCCCTATTCCGATTCTAACCGCTCCACCCTCTCTCTCCTCTCCGCATGTCCCTCTCTCCATTATGCATCTCTCTCTTCATTCCCAACCAATCTCCGATCGAGTATGACGAAGACAGGCGATGATGTATAGCGAAGGCAGGGCAGGTCTCGATCTTGCCGTCGACCGGCAAGGAAAATGCAAGGCGAAGGGGAGACTGCAACGAGGTGGGTGATGATTCTGCTTACTCCTTCATTACGGCGAGTCGACGACCTCTTCCGTCGAATTAGGGGCGGGCAAAGGTGAGTGGGGGTGATTGAGGCTGAGAGGTCGGTGGCAGGTGGAGTTATGCGAGTGGAGCTGAATTTGAGATCTAAGACCCTAAGCTTGATCGGATCGATGAATCCCATTGCAGTCCTCTTGACATCGCTGCTTTGGCTGCACTTCAGAGACCATCGACGGGAGGCCCAAATCCCCGGTCGTTTAGGTCCGCCCCAATTCAGAGTTGATCTGACATCCTTGTCCCCCAATCCAGCGCTACCACAGTGAGCATCAGCCGGTAGAGATCGACTTATGGTGAGGGAAAAATTGGGAGCTCCCGATCTAATTAATCTGAATCTCATTTTCTTCTCCTCTTCCATCTCTTATCTCTCCAATAGCGCGTCGCTCGCTCTATCTTTTGCTATGGTTCTTCGATTTGATACAACGTGGAGTGTGGGTTGTCGTTGCTACTTGGTCGGTGAGGAATATAATCGTATTGGAGCTCGTCGAGGTTGGTGTAGTTTGCTGGTTCAACGGCTGCGCTTTCAATTTTGAATTTCATTTTCTTGGTGTTCAGAAAGTGAAGGGTTTAGAGTTCGATTTGATTGGGAGGGGTTGCTGTTGAAGTTCATGGGGAGGATATCACAAACGAAGATGGTGGGGTTCCAGACGATGAAGCTGGATCCGTCGTCGATTGCCTGATCATGAGCTGCTGTATGAGAAAGAGAAGCAAGAGCAAGTTTCGCGAGAAGGAAGACGAAACGCAGATAGGTAGAGAGAGGGGTAGAGGGGAAGAGAGAGGGGGTTGGTTCACAAGTCATTTTATGGGTTAGGTTGTGGTTATATGATGTGGAAATTTTTAGTGACGTGGCGCGTTGAAATTTAAATTTTTTGGATTAAAATTGGGCGACTAGGCATTTCTGTTAGCCACGTCAGCAAAAAATTGACGGCGTTAACGGAGAATGACGGAAGGTAACGGAGAGTGACCAAACTCGAACCATTTAACTAATTTGAGTGACCAAGATTGGATTTAAATATTTCCAGTGACCAAACATGAACGTTTTTTGTAATCTTAGTGACCAACTATGCAATTAACCCGTTAATGGTGCCTTCAAATTCCTTAGCCCATCGCCTGGTGTAAACCATAAAATATATATATATATATATATATATTTAGTTACCGATGATAATTCTGATACTTGACTGGAAATGGAAGCCAATCAAATTATATTCGCCTAATCAAAATACAAGTATTAATTATATATCGGTACATGTTTATAGTACACCCTAATTTTACAAGCATATTTGACTTATCAATTACTGTTTTAAAGTTATTGGAAATGAGTTTTATATTTTGTAAAATATTTTACTTTATAAACTTTACATCAAATACATGTAAACATCTAGCTACTTGTAAATGAGTTTACATATTCATATCTTTTAACCAATTTAAACAACAATCTTGATCATATCCATCGTAAATTTATGATATACTATTATAGACATATCATTAAATACATATTAACCAATTATAACAAAAGAATTTTTTTATATATATCAACAATACCTCTAATAATGGTTGTCTCCGATATTTGCTTTGTAGTCGAAAGGCGATCACCTACAACACCATTACAAGTAACAATAAGTCTAATAAGTAGTGTGAGCTGATGTTGAATAAAAAGATGTAAATTATCAAGGAAAAAGTGAATGAATAAAACCATATTTTAGAGTTAAATAAGAAAGACTTATTACATGATGCAACGACCAAAAGCATGGCAAAAAATGCAACTGAGAAATAATTCGTCTTCATTTGTCCTCTTACAAACACCAATTGTAATGGATGTTTATCTTCTTCTAATTGTCTCCCTTCGAGCAAGAACCTTTTAATTTGTTGTTTGGTAGACTGTTGCAGTCGCGATTAGTCTTATAAATACTACCCATTTCTCAGTATATATGGCAAGAAACTTAATATGCTTATTTTATTTCCTAATTATGGAAATGGAATATACATTAATAAAAAAAAAGTATAAGAAATTATGATTCTATATTAAATGGCCGGATATGGGAGTAAGTGACTTTCTTTACAGGAATTTGAATTTCATATTTATTCATTGGATATAAATCTTTTCTATATAGATCATATGTGTGACATTTATCCAATATGCAAGTAAATTTATGTTGGTTTTTGAGTGGGTTTAATTGACAGAGTAAATTCATGTGCTTAAGTTCAGTAATTTAATAATTTGCTTAAATATATATAGATCACATTTGGAATGTTATACAAATTGTTTTGGATAGTTGTTTTTTTTTTCCGTATCTAAGTCAAATTTAAATGCTATTTCAATAGGCGAAGTGCAATATCAACATTTATAAGCTTTGTTTTTGTGTGTTAAGAGGGTGACGTGGAGTAGGAGGTAGCCGGATTTGGAGAGGAAAGATGAGGAATATGAAAATTTTCAGAGAGAGAAAGGAGGAAGAAGATTCGGGTCGGTCGGGTCAAATAGAGAAGAGAAAGGGTTCGGTCATGGGTGGGGTAGTTTTAATGATGTGGCGGGCTATGTTTTATTTTTGTTAGGTTAAATCCGGATGATTAGGCCATTATGTTTGCCACGTTAGCACTTAACGGACTCTATTAACGAAGTTGGACGAAGACGAACGAAGAGTGACCAAACTTGACATGTTTTACTGAACTTAGTGACCATTATTGATATTAACTTTTTTTAGTGACTAAGCATGACGGATTATTTCCCTAAATACAGTGAAAATTAAAAGTAATTCCCACAATACATCACTTTTATAAAAATTTCCCAAAATACCAAAGTTTGAACCGGTTCGAGTTTAACAAACTCGAACTAGGAAGCAGATCGATTGCCAGGGGATCGATCCACGTGCATCGAGTGAAACAGCAGCGATTGGCTGGAACGGGACGACGCGGATCGAGTGCAGAAAACTCGATCTACGTGGATCGATTACCGGACCCTCGATCTGATTGACATGGATCGCTGACATAAGCAGCGCTCCACCCTAGATCGAGTTAAGGGGAATCGAACTCGACCGTTCGATGGCAAAGTCCGCGATTTACTTTTGACGCGGATCGAGTGGAGAAAAGTCGATGCACGTGGACCGAGCTCTCACAAATCGATCTACTTGACGCGGATCGATGACGTCAGACCCGCTCCACCGTAGATCGAGTTTGCCAGACTCGATCTAGTCGTTCGATTTGCCTGCACTCGAACTGATATTGATGCGGATCGTGGGCGGAAAAATCGATGCATTGGTTCGAGTCTTCTAAACTCGATCCACCTCAACCATCTGCACCTATAAATACCCCCTCCCATTCCACCAAATCCCACACCACTCCATTCTTCTTCCTCTATTCCTCCCACCACTCTTGAAGAAAAAAATATGCTCTGTGGTTGCGGCTAAGCCCGATCTTCCGCATCAGATTTTTTTTCTTTAGTTTGGTACTTCTATCACTCAAAATTGCCGAGATGGATCCGAGTATTTACGATCCTAGATTATACATTCAAAGCGGACCGCGAGAAACCGATTTGTTGGATGAGCAACCTTACCATCGGTCTGAAAGTGTTTGGGCGGCAGATCCGGTAAGCACTTCCTCATTTACTTTTCTTTTTTTAAATGTGATAGTATTCTTCTAATTTTTTTTGTATAATAATTGATATTTTTTTTTCTACAGGAACAACTTGACGTAATCACCCATCGGTCGCTATCTCGCTTGCCTAAATGGGATGATCGTATCGAGCCCTTCATTGAAAGAGCGCGATTGCTGAGGGTGCGAAAGTTTGTGGGGATGGAGATGGACAACAACCTTCTTACGGCAATGGTGGAAAGATGGAGAAAAGAAACGCACACATTCCACCTTCTAGAGGGAGAGATGACGATTACGTTGAAGGACGTAGCCATGCTGACAGAGCTTCCAATCGATGGTGATGCAATAATTGAAAGTTCACAGAAACCATTGAATGGTTGGGGCCAATTTATAAGCGAGCGTTTAGGTATCAACATCCCCGAGGAAGCAGAAGAAGGTCGTCGTGTACCACCTCTACACAAGTCTATGTTATTGATACCTTGGCCATATTGTACCACCTGTGGCTTTCCTGCAAATGTTTGGCCAACCACGAATCCAGAGTCAGGAGTCCAGATTGGTATAGGAGGGAGGTCAGGATCGTCGTTGTGAGCATAGAGAGGATGTTGTGGCACCATCGTGTAGTGAGGTGTGGGGGGCTCAAATTCCCCCTCGTCAACTTCCAGATCTTCACCATCTGAACTACTCATTGATTCTAACTCTTCGTCTTCCACGTCGCTTGCCTCGCTAGTGTACGGAGGACTTGGTTTATCCACATATGGATCATTGTTGATGCCAGATGCTGCTGTAGATGCTTGTCTGGGTGCCCTTATGTAATCCCATTCTCCACCCCATACTGGTCACTCCTGTCCGTCATGTTCCACCAATGGACCAGTTGCAGTTCGATCCTCGTATGTTGGCCATGGTGCATCATGCCGCACTCTGAAATCTCCTGAACCGGAAAAACCTCCCGATCCTTCACCTTGTTCGGTATAACCGCCCCCACCATATTGGCCAACAACTTCTGTCTCGACATACACCTCAGCAGTTGGAAATCTGTTCTCTGCAATAAATCTCATCATCGTATTAACATCATCATCGTCATACAAAACTGATCCTTCATATACAAGTGCATAATCCTTGTAAACCGGCATACGGTAAGTCATCTTGCATACTCTTCTCCCTCCTATGCAACATCGTTCCGCACAAATATGGCTGAGTTCTTGCCAAGTAAATATGCTCTTAATCGGGACAGTACTTGATTCACCATCTTCGTAGTCAATACTATCATGAAAATGAGTAATTCGACCATTCCACCGAATCAATAAGTCGAATTTTCGAAAATTTCTACCCATTTCTGCAGTTTATAGAAGCAGCTCATTACATACAGTACAAACAATTCTAAATTAATCTAAAATTCTAATACGCTCATTCAAACAACGTAAGCAGAACTTACCTTCAAAAATTTTCTTCTTTGGTGGTGAGCTATGGTGCTCCAGCTGCTGCAGATTGTGTTTGGAAGAAAGAAGATAGAAAGTAAAAGAGCTGCCAGAATGTGCTAAGTGAGGGCTTTTTATCCTCGTAAACTGATGCAGTGGTTCGAGTCTAATACACTCGACCTACACTAGTTCGAGTTTATTAAACTCGATCTACGCCATCCAATAATTTCCCCCCCCCCCCCTGCACCCTATTCTGGAACATGTCGGACCGAAAGCGACTGGACAGAATTATTGACCATGTAGTTCGAGTTTAGTGTAATCGAACTACACTAGTTCGAGTCCTTAAAACTCGATCTATGATAACAAAGAATCTTATCCCTGCAACCTTATCCTGAAGCATGTCGGTGGGCCTGTGGTTCGAGTCTTTCAGAATCGATTTACCTAGTTCGAGTCGTAGAGACTCGGTCTAGTGCAGATAAAGATCGAGTGTGTTAAAGTCGTTGCACTACATCGAGGTTTCAGGAGTCGATCTAACTAAATCGAGTTTCCCGTACTCGATCTACTGGATCGAGTTTGTCTTCATCGATCTAGTGAGATCGAGTTCTTTGCCATCGATCTATGTTGTTCGAGTTTGTCATCGTCGATCTAGGTAGTAGTTCGAGTCTTATAAACTCGAACCCTTTGAAACTTGGGTAGTTTGGGAAAATTTTATAAAACTTATGTATTCTGGGAATTATGTATAATTTTTACTGTATTCTGGGAATTCTTCCAAGCATGACACATTTTAGTAAACTTAGTGATCAAACGTGGCAGTAACCCTTTTTATGGTTTCGAAGGCACAAAGCAATCTAAGGATGATTGGATCAAGCATTGAGGAACTCTGGAGTACCAATTGAGATATAAAAGAGAAGATTAAAGAGCTTTTGTGAGAAATAAGAGGTCCAATGACGGAGAAGTAACCTACAAGTTGCTACATTATCACAAGACGAGGCCATAGGAAGAAGACTCGACCTATTTGGACAAAGAAACGAGCGGCGGCTCAAACAACCAGCCCAACCTTTGCTACGTGAGACATCACAAGTTGCATCCAAATCATCAGGAGAAGAAGTCAATGGACTAGGAAGGCCAACCCATGAATAAAAAGAGTAGTGCGTCCATTCGCCGCCCTACAACCGCTTATCGTTTGCCATGTCGAAGAAATTTTCTTAGCCCATTAGGTTTATGAGACTCTTTCCTAGTCGGTGAATGATGTTTCATACCGGGTTTTCCCCTACAAATAGAGGAAATGAATAATTAGCTTAGTAAGGATGCACAAACACAAATTTTTTTTTGCAACACTCTACATGAGTGGTTAGTCTCGTCGAAGTAGAGGGGCTACAACTAAGAAGATGATTTCATCATCAATACTGGTACCTTCCTTCTCATTTATGTAGCTATTCGAAATTGATTGTCTTAGGATGTGATCTTCTTTATTGTTATGTGGATTAAGGGTGGGCATCCCGTTTGGCAAAACTGATCCGATCCGGACCGAACATAAATTAAACCAAACCGAAATAAAATCATTGTTATTCGGTTTGGAATTCGGAAAGAAAAAAGTATATTTCAAAAACCAAAGTTCCCCGACTGAACCCGAATTTCGAACGATCGATCTGAGAAACCCAAATAAACTAACCTACACACAAGCCCACCCTCTTCCAAGACACGTTTGCAATTAAAAATGTTTGAACTCCAACTTGATTTGAAACATAGCTGCACATAACAATAACAATAATTTTATTATTGTTCATCAGCAAAAATACACACGATAACATAATAAAAATGCTAGCAACGAGCACAAATGTTACTCAACAATTTTTAAGCAAATGAGGGGCACCTTGCTTGGCCAAATCACTTGATCTTCGTGGGTGCCACAAGTCGTAAATTTGGACCATGCCGGTAGGATATAGATATCATTTCACATACAATAACAATGAGGTTAAATTAGCACATTAATCAAAATCAAAAGTACATGCAATAGCCAAGTGTGAATTTGCTTACTTTGTTAAACTTTAAATGGTCAAGGTAATCGTGATACTCTCTAGAGAGTGCTCCGGCATATGGCCTCTGGTGGTAGCTCCATGCTACCTAACTTTATAAGGTGCTCGTCTTAGTTGCTCGTCTACTCAATCATTGCCAGAATGCCAGTTCAAAACGTGCAAGGTGCTCTCAAGTTCAAAGTTAGACGATGAACATGACACCACCAACTTGCTTTGTCTTTAGGTCCATAGAATTTCACAGGTCCGTATACACCATCGCTAAGCAAGCCGATTCTCAACCTTTTTGGCCCATCTAGTCGCAATTTCTCAAGAGTAGTGGGCGCCACATATCATGCATATACCAATTGTAGTTCTTGGGAAACAACCTTCCCTCAACCAAGTCAATAAAGTATATGCGACCATACCTATCGACTTATTTCCTTGTGGCATCCGCACCCAACGCACCAATATGCTTCACTAGCCAAGGAATTAAGAGTATTGACTTGCTTGGTGGTGTCAGTCCTTCTTCTTTGGATGGTCTCTCCATTGACACGTAGATACCCATCTGCTCAAATATTAATGACCCCAACCGCCACTTGGTAAGCTAAGAGACAACGTGACCGTCATCTCTCCCTCTAGAAGGTGGAATGTGTGTCTCCTTCCTCCACTTCTCTACCAAAGTCGTAAGGAGATTGTAATCGATATCCATCCCAACTAAAAACTGCACCTCGCCAAGCATGCTATTTCAAAAAAGGCTTGATCCACTTATCCCATAGGAGAAGGGGGATGTCCCCCTATGGATGATGGAATCATGTTGTTCCCATATAAAAAAATGAACAAATTAGTTTTGGAATAATTAAGCAACACAATCACGTTTAAAAAAAATGAGGTACATGGTCGAGTATTTATCGAGTCATCCGCCCAAATATTTTGGATCCATGGTATGGATTCCCATCCAACAAATGAGTGTCTCTCATACCATAATGAATATATATTTTAGGATCATACATCTCACTCCAATCTAGTTTGTAATAAACATAATAAATCAATCACCAAATAATTATAATAATAATAAATGAGAAAATGAGGATTTTCCAATAATTAACATTTTTATTTTATTTTCATATAGCGGTACCCTACAATTAATTCACAATTTAGCCGTATTGGAAACAAAAATGTTCAATATATGTTAGTTTTTACTGACTTGGGAAAGATCCAATACGACACTATGATCATATCACACTTGGTCAACGACCCATAGTGAAGGATTGATGGTGCTCTATTCAATCGAGGGAGATATTCTCTCTCCTAGGTCAAAAACTCAATTGGCATGTAATGGGATCAAGACTCACGCAATTTATCATAAACATCAATCAAATAGATAATAGGAGTAGTCAACACGATTTGTCACATGCATCAATAATCAAAACCAAATTCTAGAACTAGAGTTCATCAACTTGAGTGAAGGAGACTAGTTCATAGAGAGAAGAAGAGAGAGAATACAATAGGCTCAAAGATCTTCAATCTTCATATTCTAGGGATGATCTTCAAACTCTAATGGGGTTGGGCACCTCCAAAATAGCTCCATGAACCCTCCAATGGGGTTGGACACACTTCAAAGTTTGCAGGTGATTTTCATCCCCTATTCACTCCCAGACAGTGAACTTTAAAACAGTAGTGCAACAGTGCACACTTTACGGTTTATGTGTTATTTTCATGCCCCAGGCCGTGAAGAATGACCCTGCCCGTGAGACGCATAAGGGCTGCTAGAAATGTGTGTGGTTCACTATTTGGAGGTGATTTTCAGCCCTCCATGTAGTGAACTTTATAACCAACCTGTGAACCTTACATCTACTCCATTTTTTCGGGTCGTTTAGACCCCAAATGTCTCGGAACTCTTCCCCGAGCTTCCCCCACGTACTAGGATCTGAAATATGACAAAAAAGTACAATTTAGTTTAAAATAGGTCAAGGAACAACGATAACCAAGTCAAACAATCAAGATATGAAGGGTAAAACATGTACAATCAAGCTTTATTCAAGTTCTAAAGAATATTCACAACACATGTTAAACATATTCAACGTGAGTACTCCAAATTGTATTGTATGAATATGTCAAATGTGTTGTAAGAATAAGACACGTGGTTTGTATGAATATGTTGGTCCATATAGCAAAACATCTAAAAAATGTGACTAATATAAATCAAGAGTTATGTCATTAGATGAAAAAAATAAACAAATTAAGGATAGTTTATTTACAACTTTTCTTGAAGAACAAAAATTAAAACAAAAAGAGAGAGAAAAGTGCTATCGGGACATTCTCCCAAGTCCAAGTAAGCTGAAAATTACTTTCTAGCAAAGTGATATAAGTATATCGCTAGTCTATCAAGTGGCATACCTTATCGCCTTCTCAAGTGGCGACATTTGCCTTCACCCCGTCCGGTAAGCAAAAACACCGTTATATTGGAAAATAGCCGTGAAGTACCTCTTGTTTTACTCTTGTTTTAAAACTTTTATTTTTGGAGAAAATCTGCAAAATGGGTGAAGAAAGAGGTCAAATCCAGAATCATTGATTTCAACGATTCGATCATGTTTAAACTACTAAGTGATGATGCAATTGTTGGGGTGGGGGGGGGGGGGGGGGGTTTACGAAAGGAAGCAATTCGCAACAGAGTGGAGCGGACCAAGCGAGCCATAAATCTTTCCCTCAATCAATATCTGTAAGCTCCTCTCACCAACAATCCGTATATCTGGAAACGCGCCAATCAACGAGTCGCAAATCGTTTATGAGTCACGCGATCCAATGCCATGTGTATTTCATCGCGTTAGCCCTTAGCGATTCGTGTTGTCAAATCTGCACCAATTGCATGCAGTGCTAAGCATGAAACTGTATAAATCACTCTAATTTTGAACGAAGAACTCTGTCCTCTTTTCTTTCCATTGAATAGCGTAGGGCGTTTCTTTCTTACGCGAACCACAACAAATTTGCTCTAATATCAAACCATTCACTCCAAACTCTAGTATTTTGAAATTTTTATTAAAAGTGAGGTGGTATAAGAATTTTTTATATTAACTCTCTTCAGAAAAAATCCCGCACACGGATACAAACATTTTCATATATTCATGATCATGCATTTTTTCATTTAATTACTCCCACAATTCTAATTTCTAATCACACAAGGAAACAGTAGAGGAAAAAGAAGACCAATTATGAAAGCAATCTAAATGCCGCACAGAGTGTGGGCCACGTTTAGACCTTCATGGCCCAGCCCATAAAAAATTTAAAATCTAATACCACGAGGCCACCTCCTTCGCCACCGGGCCCACAGCAACCCAGCGTGGAAGTAACCCAGCCCATACATCCCCACAACCGTCGTCACAAAGCCCGCCGGGAATCCAATCCCCGCCGTCATCCACGAAAACCACTCCGTCTCCCTCTCGCTCCCTTCTTCTTCCTCAGTCGCCGGCGGCGACCCATTCAACCCTCCCCCGTCGCACGGGACCCGAATCTGCGCCCCACACAATCCAGCACTATTATTCGCGTAAGAACCCGGGTCGTTCATCCGATCCATTTGTGGACCCGTCGGGATCCGACCCGTGAGGTCGTTGTTGCTCACATCCAAATTGTTCAACTGCTGAAACTTCTCGAACGATTGCGGTATTTCGCCGGAGAGACCGTTGTGCGAGAGATCGAGACTCTCCAAGCTCCGCATCTCCCCCAAACTCGCCGGAATCCACCCCGATAGCTGGTTATGCGAGAGATTCAACGCTTTCAGACTCGTCAAATTCCCCAATTCGCTGGGGATCTCGCCGGAGAATCGATTGTTTGATAGATCGAGGAAAGTGTACAACCCTAGGTGCTGGTTTGGAAGTCCCCGGTGGAGCGTTTTCCAGAAGACCTGAAGCAGCGGCGGGGAATCGAGTAAGACGCCAAATACGAAGAAGTAGTTCTCCGTTCCCGATGCCATCACTTGAATCGACGAGTCCCGTGGGGTTTCCGACATTGCGGTGAGATTTCCAATCCCCTCCGGCAAACTCCCGCTCAATTGGTTGCCGGAGAGATCTAAGATCTGAATACTCGTGAGGTTCGACAGAGAACGTGGAATTTGGCCCTCCAGAGAGTTCCCGCGAAGACCCAAAACTTGGAGGTTCGACAATCGGGAAATAGAGCTGGGGATCTCGCCGGTGATGTTGTTCTCATGGAGATCGAGAAACTTCAGACCCGTCACTTCCCCTAGACTCTGGGGTAGATGCCCGGAGAAATTGTTGCGGCCGAGCACCAGGAATTGGAGATTCTGAGAGCAGTTTACTGAAACTCTGCCGTGGAATCTGTTGGAAGAGAGATCGACATAGGTAGGGCAGAAACCGCCCTCCTGGAAAAGAAGGGGCAAAACTTCTCCGGCGAATGCATTTCCTGAAAGGTCGAGAACCGAAAGCGAAGTCAAGTTCGACATGCATTTCGGAAGCGGCCCTGAGAATTGGTTGCCGGAGAGCACAATTGCGTTGAAAGCATTTTCACAGATTGCAGTCTCCGGCAATCTCCCTCGCAGATTGTTCCTCGATAGGTTGATAATACTCTGCCCTCCTCCTTTAGGTTGGAAGAAATCGGCAGGCAGAGAACCTTCAAGATCGTTATCCGAAAGATCCAAACTTTGAAGCTGTGTATCAACCAGCCATTGAGGAAAAGCTCCATGAATCCGGTTTTGGCTCAAATCGAGGGAGTAAAGTGTCGTTTGGTTAGCTACCCATCTGGGAATTGAATCAGAGATGTTGCAGGACGGTAGAGACAACGAGATAAATCTGCTTCTCGGAATTAGACTGCTTAATCCCCTGAGGGTCAACCTATTATCGCCAAGATACAAGTAGGAGAGTTCAGGCAAATCGAACAACCCGGCCGGAACTTCGCCGGTGAGAAGATTGCCGTTGAGCCTGAATGTCCTGATTTTGGTCAGGTTTAGAACTGACATTGGGATATCACCAGCCAAGCTGTTGTCCCATACTGCAAAAGTTGTCAAATTTGAGCAATTCCCAATACCAGTTGGTATCTCCCCGGAGAGAAAGTTGCCGTGTAAATCAAACTCCTCAAGGCTCTTCAACTGAGAAACAGTCGATGGAATCGAACCAGAAAGCCGATTGCCATCCAACAGAAGTTCCTTCAAATTCGTAAGCTTCCCGATCTCAACTGGAATCTCGCCTTCTAGTGTGTACCCTTTCCTCCCCTCAAAAGGGCCGCCATTGTTGTTCACAGTTCTCTGAACGTCGTCAACTATGTTAATCCTGAGGGACTCCAGCTGGGTGAGAGAGAAAAGCTGAGCAGGAATTGAACCTGTGAAGTAATTGTTGGAGAGGTCCAGGGTCACCAATTGGGTCAAATTGGCGATTCCTCGACCAGGGATTTCGCCGTGGATGAGGTTGAGTGAGAGGTCGAGTTTCTTTACCGTTGTGATACCGAACAGCGGAGTCAGGACGTTGGCCGACACTAATGTAACTTGCCCGGATGATTGCAGGAGAGGGATGAAACTGAAGAGGTTGAGCGCAGTCACTACTCGTGGCTGCGTCGGACTACGTGGCAATGTCTGGCATTCCGCTCCTCCTTGCCATCCACAGCCGGAGAGTGCGTCCGCTGCGCATTCTACCCCTTGCCATTCGCAGCAATCGGTGGAGGAGATCCAGGGGAGGAATTTAGAGGTGGTGTTTCCAGCTGCAAGAGATTGGAACTGGAGAAGGGCTTGCTTCTGATCGTCGGGGCAGGAGATGGAAGGAGGGAGCAGGGTTGCTGTTAGGGCGATGAATGTTAGAATTGCTAGCGAGTGATTGAGCCTTTTTGGGTTCGCCATGAACGCTACCGTTGCTCGTTAAGAGATTCTTCTGGTGTTCGACTACTGTATCTGTATGAAATGGAAAGATGGGATGGAATGATGTGATTTTGACTTTCCATTTACGACTCATCGACCTGAGGTTTCTTAGGGAAGACTATTATGATTGTCTAGCAAATGAGCTAGTAGGCTTCCTAGCAGCCAGCAGACGGGAGGAAAAAACATCTTAATCTCTTAGCTGTGTCTGGAATCTGAATTGATGATTCAAAAGGTCAACCGTCTACATCTCTAATTGGTCAACTGCATGAATTTTACTCTGCCGGGCAGTTGACATTGTCTTTCAGATCATTGCAAGTGCTGTCTGCGCTGTATTATTACGTTTGTTCTAAGTTATTAAGCCCTCGACAGTGATCAATTTCAACAAATATAATAAAAATCGCAGACGGTGGAACTCTTGAAAGAATCGCCTTCAATTGTTCCAGCACCCATCGTTTTCATATGCTACATTGCACATCCTATCTTTGTCTCATTTCCTCAAATTATTGAAGATAAGCCAGGAAACTTGCTACATAAATAGATAGTTTATTCACCAAAAGAAAAGAAAAGGAATGGTAGGACAAAAGTAACAGAAAGTGCAAAATACTACACGAAGAACAACCCAATCCAAGTAAATCAAAATTGGCATCCTTTTCTTTCAAAAGCAGGGAACGAATTTCCACAAACAAGAGTTAAATACCGGCAGAGGGAGCCTGCCAACCAACCAGCTCGTTGACTACTATGACACCTCTGGGGTAGTATCGTTCACTTCCTCCTCTGTGTTCTCAGTTTTCAGACGCTTTGCGTCTGGCCCTTCTTCATCACCGCCATTCTCATGGCTGAGGTATCCATTCACTGCGTCTGGTCCCAGAAGGGAAATGTGCTTGCTGGTAATAGTACGGCCCGCCTTGACTTTGGGGCCCCAGTGCCTCTCTGGATTCGGGAGAAAGCGAGCAACTTTCTTGGCCTGCGCCTTGCTCAGAGATGCAACAGCTCGAGCAAAGTTAGCCTGGCACAAGCAAAAAGAAACGAATTGTTGGTTAGTACAGTTGAGCAGCTGCTGCGAGTTCATAAAAGCACGAAAGAACAGGAAGTAGCAGAAGGTGATCAGAAATAAAGTTTACTTGCAGAACTGGTTCCTTGGCAAGAATCACGCTTCCAGCCTGATCAGGGGCCAGAGCTTTGACAGGGTGGTTTTTAACCTGCAATGTAAGATGATACAATCAACGGTTTAATCATTAATGGCTATGGGGACAATATTTAGAACACATTATTCTTTCACTAACTTATGGATAAAGTGCACTCACCCAGCACCTCATTATATCCCAAATGACATCCATTGGTGCATCGGATTTTAAACCCAGAGGGTTGACATGAGTTCCTGAGATACGATACCCTGCGTTAATAACAGCAGAGCGGAAGATGACTGCAGATGGGGAAGTGCACTTCAGGGTTCCACACAGATTGTGCAAGCTCAAAAAGAGAGGGACATCTGGAAGTTCCTCTGAGATTGTTGTCAGTACAGCAGATATGCGTTCATATGCAGGGTACCGGGCCTTAATAGATTTCACATCTTCAAGCATAGAGGCTACCCATTCTGGATCATGAATAGGAGCAGACCAAATAGGTCCACCCATGTTGAATTTCTTCCCACAGTCGGTACATTCTTGAGGAACAGCAGGGCCAAAACCGGGCATATACTTCACACTTTTATTCTGGAAAACCAAACCCGTGGTTAGGAACTCACCACATACAGGTATACAACCATATATTCATCAGTATACATTAAAGGATTTAACTTTATTGTATGCAATACGGAAGCCAGTGTAAAAGTTCAGGCATACCAATCTACCCTACTTCACCAGAAATGTCAATCAAATATTAATGATATGCAGACCTTGGCAAGGGTCCTTCCAATAGGTTGAAGATGGAAAGAGTCACATCCAATGCATTGGTAAACATAAGATAGCTTGAGAGGAGTATTCTTCATAGCACTGGCTGAACTGTAAAAATATACATTAAGAGTTTCTTGTTATGGACCATCAAAGCACTACCTTCAACAACTATATTAGTTTCAGTTAAATTGTCATGAAAGCATAACTTACGTATAGACACGGACAAAAACCCTAACATAAAAGTCCATCTGTACTGAGAGAACAGGAACAATGTACCGCTTGTATCGATTTGCATGGCTCTGCATATATTGCCAGGAGTTAGTAGTTCATTTGCATGCCAGGAAGAAAAACTTAATAGGCAGCGTTCAGAATTAACACAATCAGTGTGAGAGTCACAACTAAATTTTACTTGATCACAATTTTTACAAGGTATGGAGTACCTCAATTGAAGCAAGCAAGATCCTCAAAGCCATTTCATGGCAATATTTCCCCCTCAATGGGTAGGAACCATACCTACATAAATAAATACAGGTTAAGATGAGCCAATAATAGCAAATCCCCATTCAAACTAAAGTGAGGGATGAATTTTCTTACTTGGAATAGCAAACCTCGCCATTACCTCCACAAAGCACTGCCATATCAGTTGCTGTGCACATCAGAATGCCACCATCAGCAACTGACTGAACAGCAGAGTCCAAAAACACTGAAGGTGACCCATAAGGATCAAGATCAACCTAAGATCATAATAAACAGCAGAATAAAATTAGGCATCCTTCGTTAAGGCAACCGGTTTGCACATAAAGCACAATACAAATCCACTTCTTTTTCAATTCAGTAGGTAAACACACATCTGCTCTAGCTACATCTGAACATTGACAACAAACTGAGGATTAAACATACCACATCAAACTCCTTTGGGTGAGTCAGCATATATACACGAGCATCCGCAAGATTAGATTCCACCTTGGAAATTGCGACAGGACCATTGAACTTTATATTTCTCCTACAGGCTTCCACTGACGCTGAAAGCAGAAAAAGAAATATACAAGAATGAGAAAATTGTACGAAGTTAACCAATCAATGAAGAAAAGACCCAACCTTTATCATTGTCCAGAGCTACAATTTGACCAATCCCTTCAATTTCACGAGCATATCTCAGAGCTCTTAACCCGGATGCTGACAGAGCCTGTACAGGAGAGGAAAACACTTAGCAAGTGACTGCAGCTTAGCTATTGTATAGTAAAGAGCTAAAAAAAGGGTTTGTATTCAAGAACCTCAAGAACCCTGGGTGGTTTCAGCTCTACTCGAACTTTTCCCTCAGTGGTCTTCACCATTTCTACAGAGCTGCTGCAAGGTTCAGCTTCAGAAGTCTTTTCAGAGACTTCAGAGCTCTCTTTAGGGACTTCAGAGTTTCCATTGCATTTCTCTTCATCTACAGAGGACTCAGCCGCACCATTTTCAGAAACCTTAGGTGCTGACTTGGTTCTTTTGGACAGCTTGGCTTCATGCTCTTCCTTGCGTTTGGATATAAATGTCCTCAGCACAGCAATCGATATGTCCCTATTGTTAACCTGTCCATTTACAGAATAACTCATCTGGATTACTTCATTACCCACAGAACCACCAATTCCATTAATTCAATTGCTCCTGCAAAGTAATTGACATCTTCCTACAGTTAACTGAACTAAGAATTCACGAACTACTATAACTAAGCATCAAAGAAGAAACTACAAAGAATGGGTAACACTTTTCCCATAGCTCACCACTATTCCAACTTAACAAAACCCAAGCACAGATAATTTAAAACAGAACATATGAAATGACAAGACTTTAGGACCTGGGTCTTGTTATAGAAGACTTCATTTTTAGCATGCATAAGAATCTCAGCCTCTCCTTCCTTGACGATGGTAAATTCATCGAGATCCGCTGCCATTGCCTCCCTCCTTCCTTCTCCCTTCTCAATCAAACCGTTCTTCCTGTCCTTCCCTACTGCCACTCCTTCCTCAACCTTCCCGTGAATCGAAGCCTTTAAAGACAAGGACTTTATCGACGGGATGAAGCAAACGGAGAGCTACTTGCAGTTATCGATTTTTGCTGTTTCAATGATTTTGTAACCAACAAGTTGATGAAAACTCTCAAGAACTGCCTATTATATACATGGAGAGAACAAAAGTTCGTCCCACGCTCTCCCTTTCTTCTGAGGAAAACTGCTAACTTCCGGGAGCTGCCACTCGCCCACTACCCCTTAAACCCTAATTTTCCCGCAGCGGAGCACGTTAGAGTTTCATGGTGTTATTCGGCTAAAGTGAGCTGGAGGGAGTAGTTAGTCAATTTGCGTGGACTTCAAATTTTGGCTCCATCGGGGGCCCGTTGCCTTGTCTGACTGAACTGGGCTTACATAAGTGGGTCAAAGTCCAGCCCAATTAACGAACCCTAAAACCCTAGCGCTCGAAATGGCGTTCTTCGATTAAACCCTGAAAATCTTCGCAAGCTCCCACTATTGGTTATTTTCAGAGGAGACAGCCTCCTGGTCAAGCTCGGTGATCCTCTCAGTAGCAGCGGCGCCGAAGAAGAAGAAGAACCATGAGACCCCCAAGAGGCGGTGGCGGGTTTAGAGGAGGACGAGATGGCGGTCGGGGCGGCGGCGGCCGAGGTTTTCGCGGCGGACGTGGCGGCGGCGGCGGGCGGTTTGGTGGTGGTGGGTTTCGTGATGAAGGACCTCCTTCTGAAGTCGTAGGTTAGTTTTTCCTTTCGTATTCCATCGTTTAACTTGCATTTGATGTTTGGCCTCGGAGAAAATAGAGGTGAAAGTGATATGATTAAGCATTACTATAGATGGTTGGAACTCTGAAACTTGCTTGTGAGTTGTGATTGAACTTAAGAAGCTGCTCTGTTGGGCATCTTCAAACTGTGAACATGCCTTTAATGTTTGGTCTCTGGGAAGGGAAAGGGTGAATGTTTGCATCTTTGCAGCTCTACTCCCTGTCAAAACCTAATGTTGGCAATACATTTTCCCCCCTGGGGATTCTACAGTACAGAATGCATGTCTGGTTTATTCATAATAGTGATATGTGATTGAGATAAGTGCTAGATGGTCCCAACAGTGTTTAAGTATAGCTTCTCTCGCTCAAATGATGATTTTAATGGTGTATCTTCTGCTCATTTTGGCAGAGATTTCGACCTTTATTCATGCATGCGAGGGTGATGCTGTTACTAAGCTCACCAATGAGAAGATCCCTTACTTCAACGCCCCAATCTTTCTTCAGAACAAGACCCAGATCGGCAAAGTGGACGAGATCTTTGGCCCCATTAACGAGTCTGTAAGTGTACTTCATCTCTGTCATTTCGTTTAGCAAGTACCTTCATTGTGTTCCCCCCCTTGTTTCTTATGTTTATTTGCCCCTCTATGTTTCGCAGTTTTTCTCTATCAAAATGATGGAAGGTATCATGGCAAGTTCCTACGCTCCTGGAGACAAGTTCTTCATCGACCCCAATAAGCTCTTGCCTCTTGCAAGATTCTTGCCACAACCAAAGTAGGTTTTCTTGCTTTGGTATTAGAAATGTGGTTTCTGGTTTCATTCGTCAGCCTTAGCGTCTCTCCCATGGTTGAACTGAATTCTTAATGTTGTTATTCGATTTGTATTTGTTGTGATGTTGGAGCAGGGGACAGGCAGCTGCTACAAGAGGAGGCCGTGGAGGAGGCAGGGGAGGAGGTTTTAGAGGTGGTGGCCGTGGAGGAGGATTCAGAGGAAGAGGTGCTCCACGAGGTGGCAGAGGCCCTCCCAGGGGCGGCCGTGGTGGCTTTAGGGGCAGAGGAAGATTTTAGATCAAAGTTATGTAGTGGCATTGATGATCTTAAGCTTTTGTGTTCTCTTGTGGTGTGCTGATGACCATCCCCTGAACTCTGCTGTTTAATATATCCAACTTTTGAGCATTAATGGAGGCAGTTCTGTTTAGTTGCTGAATTTCCTGTTGAAATATGTCATGGATATGAATGAGGCTGTTCCGTTCCATAGCTAACTATTGTTGGTGAAGGTGGAAACCGTCTAGTGTTCTAATGTTGCATTGAACTTGGAACGATTGGTATGGTGAAGGTAAAAACAGATGCGGGGCTCCTTGGAATGGGGGGCACAGGCCTAGGAATGATTGTTCGCAATTGCGAAGGGCAAGTTCGATATGCATCCACAAAACGAGAAGCTGAACTCTGGTGCCCCGAAATAGCAGAACCTAGGAATGATTGTTCGCAATTGCGAAGGGCAAGTTCGATATGCATCCACAAAACGAGAAGCTGAACTCTGGTGCCCCGAAATAGCAGAAGCTAGGGCCATCCTCTTTGCAGTAAAACAATGCTACTTGGCCCCGTAGTTGAACGTCTCAAACTGTGATCACAAGACTCCAACAAAAGCCAACATTTTCCATTACCTGCAACTGATTGTAAGTCTTGGATTGGCGGAATAATATGAGCTGAGAGGTGCTGTTTTTTCCCTCAGTTTTTTCTTCTGCATTGAACTGAACCAGCGAACTTGATTGAATAAAGAAAAGTGGTATTTTATGTGGTTTGATCGAAACATTGTAAACACCCCTTTGTACATTCATTGATTAACTTGGCTGAAACTATATACTATGGACATAATGGATAGAAAATTGAAAACGAAGTTTAAGCTGAAACTGAAGAGATGTTGTAATGAATAGGAAGTTGAAAACCAAGTTTATTATTGCAGTAAGAATCACTCCCATCTGCGCACAAATATGATGGCAGAATTCATATATCACAACTAACGAAAATATGCAGATGGATGGCTTTGTGGTATGGTTACCACTCATGTTCTCTAAACTAAACCTACAATGTACCTTGGATACATTAGGGAATCGAAATCACAAATCACTCAATGAAAAGTATGACCGACTACATATAGCAAAGAAAAACAACTTGGTTATGATAAATTACTGCAGAATAAATTAAAAAAACTGGCCAGGGGCTGCAGCTGAAGCCTTCCAAAACCTTATTCCAAATTAGTGATCATCATCATCAGAATCTCATCTCTCAAGCTTCCCATCCTCGAAGAACAGTAGCTCGAGCAACACGGTTAACTCCCAGGGTGAAGGCGCCCATCCTGAGATCGCAATTATGGGTTTTGCACATCTCTTTCACATCTTTGAACCCTTTGGTCATGTAAGTCTTTAGTACATTATTAACTTTCTCTTCCTCCCACATGAATCCTTGAATGTTCTGGAGATACAATGGCACGTGATCAAAAAGAGCAGTTCTCTGAAAAACTCATGGAAAAAATATGGTATTGAAGAAAATTGCAGAGATTCAATACCTGCACCCACTCAAAGTAACTAACAGTAACGCCACCTGAGTTTGCATAAATATCTGGAAGAATCACAACACCTTTCTTTGACAGAATCTGCAACAACCAAAATGGATTAGCATTTGGGATTCTTAATGCTCACCATGTTGCGAGTTCAATCACAATTCTGAAACCCGCAAATAATTAAAGCACAAACCTCATCAGCTTCTGGATCAGTTGGATGATTAGCAGCTTCAACAATGAATTTGGCTTTGATATCGTTGGCATTATCCCTACAATCACCCAACATGAATAAAAGGAACAAGCTTTCTTAAGGTTCCAGCCATTTCAGTAGTTAAGGATCTCTTCTAAGAGATCATGGTGAACACCCAAAAAACAAACCTGTTGATGACACCTCCAAGGGCAGCTGGGATTAGGATGTCACAGTCCTCAACTAATACTGATTGCGGATCAATGGCATCAGCTCCATGGAAACCTGTCACACCCTTATGTTCCTTCACATGTTTCAGGAGACTTGGTACATCAATTCCTTTGCTATTCTTGATAGCCCCAGTGATGTCACTCACTGCAACAACCTTCCCACCTTGCTCGTGAATCAGTTGGGCAGCCCAGGAACCCACATTGCCAAAACCCTACATTTCATGACACCATTCCATTATGGATAAAGGACAAAAGTGAAATTCTCTCACCGATAAACCCTAAGTCATTACTAAGAAAGTGCCAGACCTGTATGGCGAATCGCTGTCCAGAAACAGTCTTCCCATGCTCATTCAGCAAGGCTTCTGCTGCAAACAGCACTCCTCTCCCAGTGGCAGCATCTCTCCCAAGTGATCCACCAAGATCCTAAAATTCAGGATAAAAAATGGCACAGAACATGTCTTTAGTAAAACAAATTGCACAAGCAAACAACAAAATTCCTTCCAAGGTTGGGAAAGAAAGATAATTCATCTTACAATGGGCTTTCCTGTGACCACAGCAGGTGAGTGGCCATGGAATTTTGAGTACTCGTCGAGAATCCAAGCCATGGTCTGTTAGCACATGAAAGGCCAGAGACTTTGAAGATCAAATCCATGCTCAGAAAGCAAAAAATTTTGATCAGGAATGAAAAGGGTTGGTTTTTACTTTACCTGAGGGCCAGTGCCCATATCAGGGGCAGGAACATCAATGTGAATTCCAATCAAATCATGAATCTTTTGGGTGAAAACCCTAGTAAGCCTTTCAAGTTCTGAAATGCTCAGGTCTCCTGGATCGCATCCAATCCCACCTTTTGCACCACCATATGGGATGTTTGCCACTGCTGTTTTCCAAGTCATGAGCTGTGCTAGTGCATTCACTTCATCAGGATCAACCTGTTAAACAAACCCACCAATAAATCCACAAAGAAAAAACAAAAGGAGAGATTTTTAACAGCCAGAAGACAAAAGGAAAAAGGGAGATCTGCAAAAAGGAAGACTGTAAAAGAAAAAAACCTCGGGATGATATCTGATTCCTCCCTTCATGGGGCCTCTGGCATTGTCATGCTGAACCCTGAACCCAACAAATGATGCCAAACTTCCATCATCTTTTGGTATTGTGCACTCAACCTGCAATTCAGGGGGGAAAAATACACAACCCCACCACAATAAACCATTCGATCAGAACACCGAAACTGGTGAAAGAAAACCCAGTTTCCCCTTTGAAACCAAAGAACATAACTTTGTGAGGGGAATCGATGGATTCTTTTACCTTGATTTCTCTGAAAGGGATGAGCAAGCTCTTCTCGAGCTTGGAGTCGAGACCCAGCAGCCTAGCTGCTAGCTTGAAGTTTCTGTTGGTTGCTGCTAATGCATTCATGGTTCCCTCGTTTGTTCTGATCAAAACCCAAGAGATCAAAAGGGAGGGGGAAAGTCGAATGGAGAATGGGATGCGGCGAAGAGTCTGTGCGAATGCTGTATTTATACAGAGCAAGTAAAGAAATCAAAGTCAATTTTGAGCAACCAATTAATCAATTTTGCTTCTTCTTGATTTCTTGACTTATATATACATGGATAGGATTGATGTTCCATGTCATACACCAGTAGACATTTCCCCCTCAATCATATTACAAAATGTTTGTTTATGTAAGTAGAGTTATTTTGGGTTGAGGATTTTTGTTTATTATATATGAAAGACAAATTTTGAAGAGATTTTGCCCCAGTTGTGCCTAACCCTCTGCTAATAAGCCTTCACTACGTCAGCCCTCCAAAGGAGTCCAAAACGGGTGCATCGTAACTGGTAACTTCACCGTCCATCAGTTGATTATTCACGAAGAATAATAAATTGGTGCGGAACCCAACAATATAGATAATCTAGCTATTAAACAATGGATTACGAGTAATTTTTTAATTATAATAATAATAATAATTTATTTAAATATACAGTTTGTTTGATATTAGAATTATTCAGCATTTTTTTTCCTCAAAGATATCCCAAGAGGGAATACAACAAATATAACATAATAATGGGACTTTTGCAGGTTAAAATTATAAAGTAGAATTAAGGAAGAGCCGTCGGTCGACCAACGGACGATCCAACGATGTGAGGACTTGTTTCGCCACGAGATGGACAGCCCTATTATACTTACGTGGGGCGAAGTGGAGCGATGAATGTTGTATGGAGGCTCGAAGGATTTGAACTTCAGATAGAAGACTGCTGCCCAACACGTACGTTGAACCCTGTCGATCTGATCATATGGATGATCAGATGTGGAACACCACATAATAGAAACTTTATTACAAATTCAGCCTTAAACATCTGTCTTTATTGCAGCAAATAATCAGAATTTATATTTTATTAGTCATTATTATTTGTTTGTGTGCAACTTCTTTATGTTTTTTTTTTTTTTTTTGTTAAGGCTGCTTAGCCGGCGACAAGTGGGAAGCGGCGGCACGATGCAGCGGGAAATGATAAGTACGAAATGAATTATGGTAATCTGGTTGGATATGTAAGGAATTAGGAAATTCAGCTACCAAATTTGTAAATTAAATCAAATATATATGTCAACGTTGTTTTGCTGTTAATTAAAATTCCAACTAAAAAAAGGTTTAACATTCCAAATTGAATAATATGCTGACAGACAAATCTTGAGTGTGTGCGTACACCTATCTGGTAAATTTACTTAAAATGTAATAAATTTTATAATAAATTTACTCTTTTTTATATATATATTTTCATTATGATAACATATATAATAATAATTTCGATGAATTGTCTTCTTTTAAATAAGTAAATGGGTCGGCTATGACATTTAAATCTTGGGCCTGTTTTGCTTCATGAACTTTCTGGGTAAGGGCTGCTTTCATTGATACAAAATCATTGGTTAATATGGGCCTCTCGAAGCCCAACTTGACACGGAAGGTTGGGAAAAGTCCGCCCAAACACAAAAAAACATAAAGTCTACAACAGCAAAAACACCACTGATGCTTTCACCGCTAACCTTGGCTGCTGCTCCATTATTAGTGCTGAGCTGAAGGGAGCGATCGAGGGACTTCGGATTGCGTGGGAAAGGGGCTACAAGAAAGTTCAACTCAATATGGACTCTACTGCAGCAATCGACATTGCTTTGAAATGCTTGGATGATGACCATAGACATGGTATCCTCGCGAGACAGATCCAGGTCCTCCTCAATAGAGATTGGGAGGTTAGAATTAGACATGTGTATAGGGAAGCTAATTTTGCGGCTGACTTCCTTGCTAATAGGGGTCACCTTGTTGATTTTGGCACACATCGATTCAATGTGTGAGACCATGAATTGGGTAGATGGCTTTTGTACGATGTTATGGGCACTGCTCATGATCGTTCGATCATTTCTTTAATGAGCTAGACGCTTGACGTCATCCCTTTTACCAAAAAAAAAAAAAAACACCACTGAATTTCAATTTCCAATTACAGTGATCGATCAATGTGGGAATACAATTTGATAAAATAGATAATCGTTCTTGTGTATTATTCATCCGATCCTAATTAAATCAAAATTCCAGAGTTTGGGATATTGGAATGCAACGAATCAAACAATTCAAATCATGCTGATGATTATATGGTTTTCCCCCTCACAAACATTGTTTATCATACTATTTTTACACGAATTTGCTATTAAACGCTTGAAACATTTACATTACCCAACCAGTTTGATAGAATAGTAACACATGAGCATAACAGGATTTTGTATCTTATTGTCAAACTAGAAACATGGAGAAGAGGAGTTATGTTAAGTGAAGCTTACCAGAAAATAATAAGCAGAAGTAGAGGAATTGCAGCAACAGAGCAGCTAGTAGAAAGGAGATAGTTGGTTAATGAATGAATTTCATCAAGCTGAATCTTCAAACACACACACATATATATAGAGATGAAAAAAAATGAAGGAGATTCCCACCAAATCAGAACCCAATTCTCTCTCTCTCTCTCTCTAGCTGGTTGGGTAGCAAGCATGACATGATGAGGACAGGATAGAGGCCAAAAAATTAAGGAGTGATGTTTGGTGGAGCAATTAGGTTACGCAATTAACAAGTCTTTGAAATTTAATGTAACCAAAGTTATTAACCCGTGTATAGCATTTTTATTTCAGTTCTCACACCCCTAATTACATTTTCAGAAAACATTCTATCGATAACGTTTGTGAGTCCTAACACACTTCTATGATTAACACGATGTGCATCTTTGTCTAACTACGTATTTCGTGTGTTGATACGAATCAGATAAGTAAACTACGTATAATCACGACCTCAGATAACCTATACTACAATCATATATAGAATAGTAGAGCAAGAAAGATAGATGGGATTAGAGAGAATAGAATCCTTACGTGGAATATCAACACCCACACCCACAAAAACAAATCACAATCCAATAGCTAGCTAGAGAGGGTGCTGTCTGTCTATCGTTACGTCAATCGTCACTTCCAGGAAACGCCTTTATATATTCTTCATTGATTTTAGGGTTTTCTAACTAATTAATTAGGTGGAATAACACCTTCCTTCCTCATTCCAGATCTTCTTTGGCGATGCTATAATATTAATTATGATTTGTTTTCCATATTATTAACATAAGTAGGTCGGATTTCGAACTCAGGTTCACACTCCTTTATTCTACTATTGCTTTGCTAGAGTAATTAAAGCGTGCTCATCTTACCTCATCACTCGTGGTAATGAGACTTCAGATTTCACAATACTACCATTTTGTTTCAACAAGATATAATTATATTAAACCTCAAACTGGCGGTTTTACATTAATGTTTCTAACATCCTTGAAGGAATTACTTAGGACATCGAAATAATGATATTGAATTTCTGGTGGGAACAAAAAGATTAAAAAAACAAACTAAAATGGTGAAGTTTGAGAGTGAGACTCCCTGTATGACAGAGTTAATTGGCTAGTTTAAGTTGCGTTTTAAGTAGTGCAATAGTAGAGTTAATTGTAAACCAAGATCGGCTAGATAGAATATCGAGTTTGATTCCTAGTAGATCTAGAAACTCGTAAAATATGACAATTGGAGCCACTGCTATAAATGTAGAAGTATGTTTAAGTAATTTCTATTGGCTTAAAGAGTAATTTAAGTAGTTAATAGAAAGTTAGTGGTTAATAAGTGGTTAATGATAATTAGGGTATTACTATTTCTTAAACCTAATAAAAATTAAGGATAAGGATTTTAGTATAATGAAGCTGACAGGGTCGACGTAGACGTTTTTATCACGGCTGCTTGTACGGTTTCGAATTTGATGAGTCCAAAAACGATATTTTGTGGGTTCAACCGGTACGAGTTTTTAATCAATAAGCCCATAAACTTTCCTTGTGCGACCATCAAAGAAGCTCTTCCTATGTTTACATAGATAGCACTAACAACCAACAAAAGGCAACTCGACTGCATTAAATATATTATTATTATATTATAATATTTCAATGTCCAACAACCACAGTTACCTTGTCTCTTAAGATGGAATGGGAGAAACAAAAAAAAAACCAAAGACAGAGAATGGATCAAGAACGTAAAAGGAAGACAACAACAAGCATACAGAAGAAAGAGCCCAAGCCCAGCGCCTGCCAAGCCCATAACGCAAGCAACGCGGGAAGTATGATGGGATACTCCTGCAACAGCGGAATCAAGCTCCTCTCAGCTCCGTCAAAAGAATTCCTCACCAGATCGACCAAACCCAACCCGTGCTTGTTGCGGAGGTGACGATCCAGTTTCCGCCACGCCCATATCGCAAGCCATGCCTTGACCATTATAGCTATTGGAGGCGCATCCTTCAACAGTCGGAGCAAAATCCCTGTCGCCAAATATAACATGCATAAAATAGAACCGAGACGAGACTCCAGAGCGTCCATGGCCACACGCGCAGAGACCAGGAAAGAAAGATTGCTAGCTAGCTTGCTTGCTTGCTGAGTGTTGTGGGAGAGCAGCAGTTGGATTGATTTATATACTAAATAAATAAATTCCAAGTCCTTGCAGGAAGAGACTTCTTTTTCCTTCTCGGTCTCTCTATTCTGATTCGTCCACTTGGACTGTGACGTGACGCGGCATGGCTGAATTGATTTAACCCAAGCCCAAATATTGACCGAGCAAGAAAGCTCTCCGTTCGGGCGAACTTCTCTACCGCCGATGGAACCTCCGATACAGCCTACCCGATTCCCCTCTACAAAATTCTGCCACCTCCTCCCTCCTCGAATCTCATCCATTGACGATCTTCGCCGAGACTTGGATTAATTCTCCAAGGGCATTGCAAGTTGGTACATGACGGTTACACGGATGTAAGGTGTCACGCCCTGGGAGATGAGAAGACTTGGCAATGGAGGAATTCTCGGTAGAAAAGGAACAGAAGAGAAGAGAACAGAGAGAAGAGAGAGAGAAGAGAAAGAAGGGAAAGTGAGTTTGTTATTGATCAGCTGAAAAGTAGTTACAACGGTCCTGGCGCCTATTCTTTATACCACTAATACAAAATTACCACTCCACTCCCTCAACTTCTAACTCTATACAGTTTAGTCCGCTCGTTACAACTCCCCACTTCTTCACTGGAAGCTTGTCCTCAAGCTTCAAAGTCTGGAAATCGGCCATGAAATTCAATCCAATTCTCCCAGGTAGCATCCTCCTCGGTCTGGTGAGACCACTGCACCAGTACCTGTGTCAATGGTTTGTTATCCTGAGCTATAACTCGCCTAGCTAGGATCGCTAAAGGAGACAACTTGAGAACCCCCTGATCATCCATGACAGGTAATGTTGGCTGGACCTGCAGAGAATCCCCCACCCTGGCCTTCTTCAACAGAGACACATGAAACACAGGATGGATGGCCGAGTCAGCTGGTAACTGTAGCTTGTAAGCTACTGCCCCGATCTTCTGCACAATAGGGAATGGGCCAAAGAACTTGGGAGCCAGCTTCTGATTAACTCTGGTTGCAACCGAAGTTTGGCGATAGGGCCGCAGCTTGAGATAGACTAAGTCACCAACCTGCAGTGTCCTCTCAGTTCTGTGGGCGTCAGCCAGTTGCTTTTGTTTATTTTGAGCCTTGGCCAAGTTCTGGAGTAAAATGTCCACCAACCTGTGCTGCTGCTGCAACCTTTCAGCCACTGCTGCCACAGGAGTGGAAAGGGGGTTTTGGATAGAGAAATGGGAAGGAGCATACCCATAAAGAGCCTCGAACGGAGTGAGCTGAAGACTGCTGTGGAAATTGGTATTATACCACCACTCTGCTAAGTTCAACCATCCAAACCACTTCTGGGGACACAGATGAACCATTCCCCTCAAATATTCTTCCAAACATCGATTCAATCTCTCTGTCTGACCATCAGTCTGAGGATGGTAGGCAGTTGAGTAATGCAGCTTCACCCCCTGTAATTCAAACAGTTTAGTCCAAAAAGAGCTTGTGAATAGAGCATCTCTGTCAGATACTATAGTAGTAGGCATGCCATGCAACTTAAACACCCCATCAAAGAAAACTTGAGCCACTGTCATAGCTGTGTAAGGCTTGGAAAGACCAAAGAAGTGCCCATACTTGGAGAAGCGATCAATCACCACCAATATAGCATCCTTGCCACTGGAACTAGGCAAGCCTTCTATGAAATCCATAGAGATGTGCTTCCAAGCTTGATCAGGTATAGGAAGTGGTTGGAGTAAACCAGGGTAAGGAATGTTTTCAATTTTACACTTCTGACAAACTTCACACAGGCTGATGTAATTCTTCAGATCAGTCTTGAGACCAGGCCACCAGAAATATCTCCTCAGCCTCTGATAACTGGCCTGCACCCCAGAATGACCACCCACTGGTGAGTCATGGAACAGTTGCAACAACTGTTTCCTCATTTCGCCAGTACTACCCACATAAATGGCCAACTTGTGGTAAAGCAATCCCTGAGAAAACCAGTACAACTTAGGGCCAATGAAAGGCACAGCAGCTTCTGCAATCAACTGTTGACACAACTGATCCCCCTCATAGGTAGACTCCAATTCCCCCAACCAAGCTGGTAGCACAGCTGTAATAGGACAACAGTTGCCTGAACTGGCCATGGAAGTGACAAAACTGGGATGTCTTGAAAGGGCATCAGCTACATGATTAAACTTGCCCTGGCGATATTGAATTTCAAAATCAAGCCCCAGCAGCTTCACCAGACCCTTCTTCTGAATCTGAGTGTGGATTTTCTGTCCCAGGAGATGTTTCAAACTCTCATGATCTGTTACTATCTTAAATTGCCTGCCCTCCTAATAATGGCGCCACTTAGTCACTGCCAAGATAACAACAAGGTACTCTTTCTCATATGTAGAGAGTCCTTGTTTCCTAGGCCCCAATGCCTGGCTGTGATAAGCCAAAGGTCTTCCTTCCTGTGAGAGGACAGCACCAATTCCCATCTCACTGGCATCTGTTTCCAAAACAAACTGCTTGGTGAAATCAGGCAAAGCCAAAACAGGAGCAGTCACCATGGCCTGTTTGAGGGTCATGAAAGCTGTCTGAGCTGATTCAGACCAAGCAAAGCTATCCTTCTTCAACAAATCTGTAAGAGGCTTCCCAATCACACCATAGTTCTTGACAAATTTCCTGTAATACCCTGTGAGACCAAGAAAACCACGCAACTCCTTCACATTTCTTGGCACTGGCCACTTGACCATGGCATCTATCTTGGCTGGATCTGTTGTCACCCCTTCCTGGTTGATTATGTAGCCTAAGTAGTCAATCTGAGTCTGACCAAAAGCACACTTTGAGGGCTTGACATAGAGAGTATTCTCCCTTAACACAGTCAGAGCTGTTGCCAAGTGCTGTTTATGGCTCTCCTGATCAGGGCTGTAGATTAAAATGTCATCAAAAAACACCAGAATAAACTTCCTGAGGTAGGGGCTGAATATCTGGTTCATCAATGCTTGGAAAGTGGCAGGAGCATTGGTGAGGCCAAATGGCATCACAGTGAACTCATAGAGGCCCTGGTGAGTTCTGAAAGCAGTCTTGTGCTGATCCATGGGATTCATCCTGATCTGGTGATAACCAGAAAGCAGGTCAAGTTTTGTAAAAAACTTAGATCCCCTAAGTTCATCCAACAAATCATCAATGACTGGTATAGAAAACTTATCCTTTATAGTAAGATCATTCAACTTCCTGTAATCAACACAGAATCTCCAGGAACCATCTTTCTTAAGCACCAACAACACAGGTGAGGCATAAGGGCTTCTGCTAGGTTGAATATACTGAGCAGCTAACATTTCCTTCACCAATCTATCCATTTCATTCTTTTGAGGAATTGAGTACCTGTAGGGTCTGAGGTTGACAGGTTGTGAGTTTGGTTGCAGTGGTATGGTGTGGTCACAGTCCCTTGATGGTGGTAGGGACTGGGGTTTTCCAAAGACATCACTGAACTCCTTAAGCACTGAATCCAAGAATGCAGGAGCTGGATTCTTGTTACTGCCTTTACCAGACTCCCCATCCAGTTGGTTAAGCACTTCTAGGCTGCAAAGTTGACCCACAAAAGCAATCTCTGAACGGTTCCACAGCTTCTGCAGGCTCTTGCCAGATATCAATTTGCACTGAGCAATATCCTGAATACCCTGCAACACCACTTCCTGACCTTCTCAATCAAAATAGAGCTTCAAATCCACAAAATCAAACTTAACCGGGCTGATGGTCCTGAGCCAGTCCAACCCCAAAACTGCATCATTGGATCCTAAGCTAAGGATTCTCATGTCATACTGGAATACCCTACCTTGCATTTCCCAACAAAATCCTTTGCAAACCCACTGACTGAGTAACACCGTGCCATCTGCAAGTTTCACCCGCAAGGGATGACTGGCAGGCACTAGTTGACAATGGAGCTCCTTGGCCTTTCTTTCACTGAGAAATGTGTGAGTACTGCCAGTGTCCAGCAGAATGTAAATCTTCTCCTTCTTCACCTTGCCTTGAACGATGAAGGAGCTAGCCAGGCCACCACTGTTGAGGGCCTGCATTGAGACTTCTTCTAACTCAGTCTGCTCCATCTCAGCACCTGGATCCAACACTTCTTCTTCATACACTTCATTACTGTCATCAGCAATGTCTTCTTCACTACCAGCCTGAAGCACATTGAGCTGTTTCTTAACTCCACACACATGCCCAAAGAAGTATCGATCCCCACACTTGTAACATACCCCCCTAGCTCCATTGTTTTTCTGTGGAACCACAGGAGACTTTACCCCTGCTGTTCTGGTAGGAGGAGGTCCTTCCCAACGACGAGGAGGAGCAGAAGAGCTGCTTGGAATGACAGTGGACCGGCCAGAATTCCCCTGACCCCCTCGCCATTTCTTCTGGTGAGCCAAATTGGATTCTTCCTGCAATTGCGTGAGTTGGAACGCATCCGCCAAGGACTGAGGCTTCCACATATGCATCACCGGCCTCAATTCTTCATCCAGACCACTAATGAAACTGCTAATGAAGTAGATCTCGTCCAAGGCTGGATTAAAACGCGCCATTAACGAACGCAATTCCTCGAATTTCTCCTGATATTCCGCCAACGAACCCCGCTGCCTGAGTTTATTGAACTCTGCGACCACACCGCCATAGGAACGATTACCAAAACGCTGGCACAGAGCAGCCACAAATTCTTCCCAAATCAGCTCATGGCGCCCAATCTTCCAGCCTTCGAACCAAAGATCTGCTCGCCGCTGGAAGTAGATGACCGCGAGATTAACCTTCTGGTCCGGAGGAATGGAGTAGATCTCGAAAAGTTTCTCACACTTCCGCGTCCATTCACGCGGATCCTCGCCATTGAAAGACGGAAAATCGAGACGAGGAAGTTGATGAATGTGACCCGGGGCTGGAGCCTGAATTTGCTCCCGCTCAACTGCACGAGGAAACGGAGCTGGAGCCCTGGGAAACTGCGCCATGGCAGGATCAACTCCCCTAAATCCTTGAGGCGGTAGCGGCAGAATGCCTCGGCCCCCATTCCGGTCAACCAGCGGCGCCGCCGCACCAGCAATGGGACCCGGTGGCCTCGGATTCACGACTAAGTGGAGCATCTCACGGATCTCCGTCGTGAAATGAGCAAAACGATTGTCCAAACGGTCTTCAAGTTCGGTGAAACGAGTGGCCGTACCTGCCTCCATGGAGTCGAGACGAGCTGTGAGATTGACGAATTGTTGCGAATGGCCATCGGCACGAGTCACCAATTCCTGAAATCGAGTCGCCTGAGAAGTAATTTTGGCGTCCAAGTCGAGCTGAGCTTGCGATGTCGAAGCCACGAGTCCAGCCAGACGATCATCAATCGATCCACGAGTCGCCGTCATGATGAAAGGAGCCAAGTCGAGGCTCTGATACCACCTTGTCACGCCCTGGGAGATGAGAAGACTTGGCAATGGAGGAATTCTCGGTAGAAAAGGAACAGAAGAGAAGAGAACAGAGAGAAGAGAGAGAGAGAAGAGAGAGAAGGGAAAGTGAGTTTGTTATTGATCAGCTGAAAAGTAGTTACAACGGTCCTGGCGCCTATTCTTTATACCACTAATACAAAATTACCACTCCACTCCCTCAACTTCTAACTCTATACAGTTTAGTCCGCTCGTTACATAAGGTCGGTTGAATTTGTTTACTAATCGCATCGCAGAAGCAGAATAACATATCAAAGCTCAAGTAGCAACTCTAGAAGATCACTACACGACTCATTCCAATCAGTTGCAGGATCTGGTGTCCCGTTCTGAGGCGCACTCACATCAATTCTCAACCATCCACACCAGGTTGGACGGGAAAGAAGGCCGTTCCGAAGCACGATTCAAATTTCAAGGAAACCAAACCAAGGAGGAACACCCACCAGCAGGCAGCAACCACCTCTTTTTCACTATAAGGGAAGAATAACAGAAGGTTAAAAACATTCCAATTTGTAGATAGTCACTGCAAATGACAGCATTCCCCAGAAAACAGAACATACAATTGCACAAGACCAAAGAGGGAAGGAGAGACAAAGAACAGAACAGTCACAAAGCACAAAACCCCCTGCTCTCTAAACCTAGAAATACAAAGGGAATTAGAACGACCGCCGGTAAGGGAGATCGATCAAGTTGGCTTTTGTATCGTTTGATCGATCCCTGTTTTCCTGTTTCAGATCCCGCAAAAAATGAAACTTACTTACATTAATTTACTTTAATTAATGAAAAGAGAATGTAGACACCAGTTTTTGTCCGGGTTAAAGTATTCAATTAAACAAAATTTAATTTTTGTTTAAGATTTACAATAGTGAATCTTAAATCACCTTACATATAGAACGTATTTATAGTGGTTGGAACACGTCATGTTTTTCATAACGTAATGAGATTAGCAATACCCTAATTATCATTAATCACCTATTAACCACTTTCTATTAACTACTTAAATTACTCTAAGCCAATCGAAATTACTTAAACATACTTCTAAATTTGTAGCAGTGGCTCCAATTGTCATATTTTACGAGTTTCTAGATCTACTAGGACTCAAACTCGATATTCTATCTAGCCGATCTTGGTTTACAATTAACTTTACTATTACACTACTTAAAAACGCAACTTAAACTGGCAAATAAGGCAATCAAAGTAAATGAGGGGTTTCTAGAGTGGGAAGGCTCGCTTGGCCCAAGAATCCCTATAGCTATGTGTTAAAACTTAAAACCTGGAACCTCGACCAAACCTCTAAATTGCTTGAAATCGTCCATTAGCTATGGATCCAATAACTCTTTTGAAATAGTTAGTTGAGGGTGATTTTCTTCAACCCAATTAACCAAACAAAGCTCTGACCCTAAATTTCGGGGTCTCGCCCAAAGCAAAGAGAGTAAAAAGAAAATTCATTGTCATGCAATTACCAAAACCTTTCCCAATTGATGCATGTTCAACTGAACCAACTAAATTCCTCCCTCTTAGATCAAAACTCGAATCACTTCCCACACTTGACCAAAGATTAGAGAGGATAATTATAAGACAATAGTTTTACAAGCACCAAGTTCCCTATAAGACAATAGTTCAAGAAACATAAATTGGGTTTCAATTTTCTCATGCTATTATTCATAGACAATCTCTCTATTTATAGAGTTACACAACCGAATTCCTTTCCTTCTCACCCTAGGCTTTAGCCTCTTTCCTTATTCTTTTCCTACTAGAATTTCCTTTCTTCCCTTACAAGAAACATTAATTAAATACTAACACATCTCCTAATCCAAATAGGACAATTACTAATATTCCCAAATAATTACTTCATACGACTAATAAGAAAAGATACGCAAGCCCAGTAATTAATGAAATGCTACAATGGCTCGATCTAGTAACAACAACACCCTCTCTAGCTAGTATTGGATTGTGGTTTGTTTTTGTGGGTGTGGGTGTTGATATTCCAAGTAAGGATTCTATTCTCTCTAATCCAATCTATCTTTCTTGCTATCTGAGGTCGTGATTGTAGTTTAATCTGATTCGTATCAATACATGGAATACGTAGTTGGACAAAGAAGCACATGGTGTTACCGGATATAGAGAAGAGAAGTGTGTTAGGCTCGCGAACGTTGTCATTCGATAGAATGTTTCTGAAAATGTTATTAGAGGTGTGAGAACAGAACTGAAATCAAAATGCAATGCACGGTTAATAACTTTGGTTACATTAAATTTCAAAGAGTACTTGTTAATTGTGTGACTTAGTTGTATGGTGAGTATGGTTTGGTTTGATGTTGGTTAATTGTGAAATTAGGTATTCATCTCTCACCATTGGATGGCACGGATCTACAAAGTGAAGCCTCCAAGGAACGGCAGGAGAAAGAAATCCAAGTCTTGGGTACGTGTGCAGCAGTGTATGATATATCTAACTTGTCATCTCTGATGTTAGCAAGCATTCAAAGGCTGGAGAGATATTCAAAACCATTGGTCGAGCATATGAAGTGGCATTCCCTATACATATCTTGATCCATTGAATTATCAAAATCTCAACACTCTTGATGGAGTTCACTTCATTGAGAACGCAGCTACTCAATTAGGACTTTCCATATTCCTATTTCTCTCCTTGAAAAGTTTGCATCTTTTGGCGTATTCAGACTCTTTCAAATGAAGTGAGAAGAATACAGTATGACCGAGTATTGAGATTGAATGAAGATTCAGCATATAGAGGGAAAAAGTATTACAGTCCTTAATTTGAAGATTAGGAAAGAATACAGGTGGGCTGAACTGAAATGGAGGATTGAACAAGACCGATACTGGGAGCATTACAATGCAGAGGAAGACAACTCCTCCTCTGAAGATGAAATTGCTGAAGAAATGGATCAATACAAAGGACCTTTTGCTGAAGTGCTTAGGTCTGCATTTTTATCTCTTTTTTTTTTTGCCCCAAGCATAAGGACCTTGAGTCTCTGTTACTTTTAGCAGCCTGATGGTTTTTTCGATCCAAAACAGGACGCTGGATACTTGTCATCTAGTTGCATGAATTCTTGGGGGGAAGAAATGGGGTTCTGCTTGCTCTGTGCATCCAGTTTGCAAGTTGGGTATGTGGGCTGCCTCCAATCTTGCTCTGTAGCCATCAAGCTGCAAGCGGACATAACCTGAAGGCCGATCGATGTCGTACATATGGGATTCTGGATGTAGTGCAGTATATGATTGATTCATGCCCATCAAGCCGAGGCTAATATAACAATCCTTCGTCTGTGCTGCCTAGAATGTTGTATTATATGAATTTTTGGGCATATTGTAGTGTAGTGTAGTCGATTAACGTTTAGATTTATGACTTCGAGTTTGGCATACAAAGGTTGTTATTTACATATCCTTAGTTCTCCTTGCACAGTTTATTTGTTGTAATGTAATTTGATACCCATTTCTAGCATCATCAAATGTTAGAATGTAGTAGTTTTCTGCAACTCAATTGTAGAAGAAGAGTAAAGTCATGAATGAGTGGACATCCTTCCATGAGTAGACAGCAAAATAGGATCAACAAATGGCAAAGTTTGCTTCCTTTTTCATCACTTTTCTTATGTAGATACGTACAATTGGCAAACTAATGGTAAACACAGCAAAAACATGTAGCAGGTGTGATCAATTGAGTAAGATGATGAGATAACGAAAATCTCCTCAGTTCACCTAAAGTAGGACAGCTGACCTGACGTGACAATGAATATAGGACTGGTTTGTTCAAAGAAACAAGTTTTGGGGACTGGACTGTACGGACAACATTACACTGTACTCTTGGACTGGCCCAATGTCTCAAGGATGGCCTGGCTCAATGGCGGCCCTGATCTGGAGGAGAATCTTGAATAGGCGAAGGCAAAACCTGAATAGGCGAAGGCAAAACTTCGCTACGGCCCAGACGAAGAGAACAAATAACTGTGGGTCTTCGTTAGTGTATATCTTGCTGAAGCCGCGGGTGATGATTCCCCAGCCCAACCCGCCTGGGTGCGGATCCACCAACTGCCGAAGGTAGACAGCTTTGACCGGTGTTCGCCTTCCAACAACACCTTCGACGATGCCCTTCCAAAACATCGCCGCGTTGTGGCCATTTGCCTCGGGATGGCTACTGTCGCCGGAGCTTGGCCAACCGGTTTCTGCGACGGCGACCGGAAGAGTGTGATAACCTGACTTGTTCAAGACCTCGACGACGCCGCTGAGCATGAGATCGAACAGGCTGTTATAGCGCTTGGCTAGCGGATCCGAAGCGGAGAAGGTGTGATTGCCTTGCGATTGGGAAAGGGCGAAAGGCAGTGGATAGGCGTAGGTTTTGTAGTACTCGTACACATCCAGCTTGACGAGGAGAGGAGAGCCGCTGTGGTTGAGGAACCGAAGCAAAGGTCCAAGGAACGGCGGCGGATCGATCACGTCTCCAAAGCTCACCGTGACGGAAATTGCCGATTCAACTTTGAGCAGCCTCGTCGCTTCCTGTACGTTCTTCACCGCCTCCATCAACACCTGAGATTCAGCAGCTTTTGGTTCTTCTCCCACGGAGATGGTGGATACGGCAGCTGAGGACAAGATCGGTCCAAGAATCTCCACCACCGCTGCAGAAGAATTGCCGGCTAGCTTAGCCAGCAATTCATTCGGCAAGCTCACCAGTACTGAGATTCCACTCTTCTCAAACTCTTGAAGGAGGTCCGGTGTGGCGTCGTGGAGACGTAGCCTTGCTGCGCCGAAGTTGAGGTTTCGGACCGCCGCTGCAATCACCGGCGCGCTCGGACGAATCGGAGGCGGAAGCGGCGACGGAAAGAAGCCGTTGGAGTTGGAGTCGAAGGTGACTCCCAGCGAAGCCTGCGCCTCCTGGAACCTCCATTGGTCGTAGAGAGTGATGATTGTAGACACACGGTAGGCCAGAGCGAGAACTGCAATGGAGAGCAAGTAAGTACTTCATAGCTTTGTGGTGGTGAGGGGGGAAGAGGCAAGGAGGAGGGAAAGATTTCTAAGAAGAGAGAATTCTTGAATTGAGCATTCGTTTGGTGTGGGGGGTGGGGAATGTTTGTTACTGGTAAGAGGCCTTTTATAGCCACCGGCGGCAAGACCCTGACAGCTGGAGAGGAAAGTTTCGTTGCCTTGAGGAATGTAGCTAGGATTTGCCAAGGCAGCATTTACGGGAAATCGTCTCTGAGTTCCTTCTCACAAGCATCATAAGTGCATGCGCCAATGCTAGTTTCCTTCTTCTCGGCAAGCAGATACATGCTCACATACTCATCACAGGGCCTAAAACTAAACCAGGTTTGCAATTGCCTGTGATTGAATAATGCACTGCTCACTTTATATTCAAAATGTGCTAAGCTTGGTGATGTCCTCCGACTCATGGAATGCGATGTTGTCAAGCTACGTCAATAGTGGACGCATGAATGAAGCTAGTGGACTCTTGAATGAAGCTAAGGAAATCTTCCAGGAGATGCCAGAAAAGAACCTTCTGACATGGGCTGTGATGATAGCATAGCAGCAGGGTTAGCACAGAATGGACTTGGTGAAGAGAGTTTGAAGCTATTCAACCAGATGAAACTACAGGGTTTTCAACCATGTGATTATGCGTTTGCTGGAGCTATTACTTCATGTGCTGCACTTGAATCGTTGAAGTCTGGACTGGACGCCAGCTCCATTCTCAACTCATCCTGTTCGTTTTTTTAGTGTAGCCTTTTCTGCGGGAAATGCACTGATTACCATGTGTGGAAGATGTGGCGTTGTAGGGGATGCGCGGAATCTATTCTCACCATGCCGTTTGTAGATTCAGCATGGAATGCGATGATTGCTTACCTGATCGCATCACCTTCCTGACAGTTCTCTCTGCTTGCAGCCACGCGGGTTAGTCGGGGAAGGGCATCGATACTCTTACGCAATGCACCATCTTTTATGGCATTACCCCAGGCGAGGATCATTATGGCCGTATGGTTGATTTGCTCTGCCGAGATGGAAAGTTCTCAGAAGCAAACGATATGATAGAAAAAAATGCCCTTTCAGCCCGGCCCACAGATATGGAAAGCTTTCCGTGCAGGTTGTCGGAATCATGGGAACATGGAATTGGGAATCCAAGCTGCTGAACGGCTCTTTTAGATGATCCCTTAAAACGACGCAACCTATATCCTTCTGTATAATATGTATTCTGCAAAGGGGCTTTGGGATAATGTGTCGAGAGTTAGGAAGCTGATGAGAGACCAAGGGGTGGAAAAGGAGCCTGCATGTAGCTTGGTTGAAGCTGAAAACAAGTTCCATGTATTCTTGGTCGATGACACTGCACATCCTGAAGTTAATGCTGTCTACAGTTATCTCAAGCAGCTTGGCTTTGAAATGGGGAAATCAGGGTACGTGCCGGACACAAGAACTATCATTTCACATGGACCAGTAAGTAGATTATGTTTATAAGCTGTTGGCTGATTTAGTTAGTATTGATGTTGTTCTTCTTACTAATATCATTTGCACATCATGGCTGTTAAGATCAAGCATCTTTAGGAATCAGCAAAATAATGGACATATAGTAGAGTAATTTCCTTGTCATGGAAGAGGTGAACCAGATTTCCTTCTTTTAATTTAGTTTGTAGTGGTTAGTGAGTTTATAGAGTTTATTTTATGTCGATGTTTCATAGGTTGGTTATTGTTCTTTTACGTCTTCGAATGGTGTTTTCGAATTCAAGTGTTGGTTCCGTCTCTTTCATTATTTTCCTTCTAGTTTCCCAGCTTCGATTAAGTAGAGGTTAGGTGATTTTAATTGTATTCCGGTATCAGCAAGACAAGAGAAAAGAGGGAGGAAAAAGTCTCAAACGGAACGGTCCAGGTTCTAAAAATTCACCTAGCTTTGTTGAATCATGCAGTGGGAAAACAATGGAGCAGTTGATGTTCATGACTTTGATAGTTCAACCAGCAGGGATCCATTTTCATGAAAGTGCTCAGTTGAGTGAGTAGTCTTCTGCAGGTCTGGAACCAGTGTCAGTCGAGCCATTGGAGAAACATGCCCAATCTGCAGCATGAAGTTGATCAGAACTCTGTTTCACTTGCAATTCAGTGACAAGGTTAGCTCCTTGATGCATCCTCTTTTTTGCAATGTTCAGGCCCATGGAATTGTTTCGCTTTCGGTTGCCACTTGTCACATTGTTTTTATACATGCTTATGTATTGTAGTTCACTCCTTGTGTCGCCTTCTCCTTCAGCTTCCTATATACTCACCATGTTCGTTGTTAGAAGTTAGAACCTGTTTCTTGCTTCAGTCTACACATTGGCGTTCCTCTTCTTTCTGATTGCATACTTGATTTTGCGACTTCCTGAGGTTCACTTCATGTCGTCTTTGTTTGCTGGGTGCTCATTCCTTTCTCTGCGTAGCTCTAGCAACTGCAGTTCTAGGAACATGGACTCCAGGACTGGAGGGTGACTTCACTAGAGTTGGATAGTTTTATGTTTTTCTCCTTTAGAACTCACCAAAGCAGCACTGGAACTGCATCTGCTTACCGATGAGGGTACTGTTGCTGAATTTGAAGGAATCCATATGCAGTGTCAGGTGGTTGAAAGCCGCCTCTTTTTGCCGAGTACCAAGGTTGATTATTTCCCCAAAGATCAACTACAAGCTGTCAAGTGTGAATTTTGGGTGGACAGGTTGTTTTATGTGCTCTCTTATGGTGAGAGTTGTGGTTTTTTCTTTGTTTATTAGGGTTCGATGAACTCGTTTGTTTAGGCTGGTGAGCTTAAGGGGAGCTGGTGGTTCAGTGGAATCAGATGATTGGTCGTTTTGTTCGGTTATTTTTGTGCATGGTGCTTGCTGTATAGGTGTTTTAGCGTTCTGCAAATGTGACGTTCCTTGGTGAAGTTTGTTGTGCATATTTTCCATTCATTTTACACCTGGTATTAGCAAATAGTTTTTGATCAGACACTAACTACTGAAGCCATAGCATGCAAAATGGCTCAAGTAGAGACAAGAAGAGGATTCCTCGTATCCCAGAACTCTCGGAGATTCTTTTCGATATATATTTGGATGATATCGATAAAAAGCTTGCTATGGAATTACCCTACTTGCAGTTTGCGCGCTATCATGATGAAATAATATATGCAACATATGATGGGGATAAAGAGAATTGCTTTGAAGAAATTGATAATAGAATTATTGAAATTAGCGAAGAATGCAAATTATGGCCTACTCGCGTAGAGCCTGGTGATCTAGAATGCGATTTAAAGAGTCCTATCTCTTTACCACTATTGTTAGGGGCGAAACAGAGAATATCCTAGTTCTTACAGGACATATTTACATTACCAAAGATGGAAAATGTAAAATGCGAGAAAACAGTAACCACTCTCTAAATACTCATTTCTTTTAAACTAGAAGAACAGAAGTAGATTAATCAAACTCCATATTTGGTGTTAAAGACAGACGTGATAGCCTTATCTATCATTACTTTCACACCCTGGTAGGGCTGGCTATTTGGACCGGGACCGGATGAAAAACTGGAAATCGGACCGTATAACCCGGACCGAGACCGGACCGGGACCGGATAGTAAACAATACAATCCAATCTTTGGGCTTAGATATGAGGTAAAAAACCGGATAAAGACCGGATAAGAGAGCTCAACACCCAAAACTTAAGGGTAATTTGCATAAACGGTCACAAACCTTTGCATTTAGTACAAAACTTAACCAATTCCTCACCCTTTTAGGCCTTAGGCCACTCAAATTCCCACAATCTCAATATAAAATCAAGACCGAATTGGGACCGGACTGTATCCAATCCAATCTTCGGTCCTTATATTTTCAAAAAAACCGGACCGGATCAATTTGGATCAATTTAACCGGACCGGACCGTATAGCCACCCCTACACCCTGGTATGATTTTACTGTACGCTGGCCTGTGATTTGGATTGGATGGCTGGGCCTGAGATGAGAACGGGTCCAGCCCAGACGAAATGATCCGTCTGGATTCTTGCTGCTGGGGCTGGGCTGGGGCCGGCCTGCTAGGGACCATGGTATTTTTGAGAGACCGACAAGGAAAAGAGCAAGTCTCTTCCTGAAAGGACTTGGACAGTTGGAGTACCATCCATAAATAAGCCTCTTGGTCTGGCGATTTATTTAGTACAGAAATCGAACCGCTAACACACAGTCAGCAAGCAATCTTTCTTTCCTTGTCGCCATGGACGCTCTCAAGTCTCGTCTCGGTTTAATTATATGCGCGTTATGTTTGGCGTCGTGGATGATCTTTGTCCACTGGATCATGCCAACTTTCTACCCTCGCACCGCCGACGGGGTTGTGATCTTGCTCCGGCTGTTAGAGGATTACGATTACCCTATAACCAGAATCGTCGATGCAATCGGCGTGGCAGGCGACGCATTGCTTGCGATATGGGCTTGGCTGAAACTGGATCGTCACCTCCGCAACAAGTACGGGCTGGGCTTGGTTGATCTGGTGAGGAATTCCTTTGACGGAGTTGAAAGGAGCTTGATTCGGGTGTTGCAGGATTACCCCATCATACTTCCCGCGCTACTTGCGATATGGGCTTGGCGGGCGCTGGGTGTGGGCTCTTTCTTCTCTATGCTTGAGTTTTTCTTCCTTTTACGTTGTTGAATCCATTATTTAGTGTCTTTACCGGATTTGGATCGTCCTTTTTTTTTTATTATTTCCTTCCAACTTAAGGGACAAGGTATACTATGTAGTTGTTGGAGATTGAATGTGATAATATTATATTTAATTTATTGCAGCCGTTTCCTTTTGTTAGTGGTTGGTTCTATACATAACAACATATACAATTCCATAGGAAGAGCTTCTTAGATGGGGCTGCACAACGAAAGTTCATATGCTTGTTGATTAAAAACTTATATCGTCTCGGCGGTTGAACTACAAAATATCATTCTTGGAGTCAAATTCGAAATGGTACAAGCATCCATGGTAAAACGTCTTCGTCTATCCTGTCAGCTTCATTATACTACAATCTTATCGGTCGGTTTTAGAGGTTGGGCCAATGAACCAGGACATTCTTGTCGATTTTAATTGGCAATATCGAATTAATGGTGGAGCCAACTTCTATTAAGCTCTGTCACATGACACACCTAAAATATGTGGAAAAATTATGAACCCCACATAAGTGTATATGTAGGATTCAAATACAAGAAGTTTTATCTACAATAAAAGACATTTGATTGAATAGCACTTCTATTATGATTTAAAGTATTGGTGCTTTAAAGTACAATTTGAAGTTGTACCATAATGTTAAAGGTACAAATTTAACTTGTACCATAAGGAAATTTGACATTTATGTTTGTGGTACAAGTACAACTTCAAGTTGTATCATAACATAAAGGTGCAACTTTAGTTTGTACCATAAAGAGATTTTACAAAAGAGTATAGGTACAACCTAAAGTTGTACCATAACGTAAATGTATAACTTCAAGTTATATCATAAAGAGAGAGAAAAAAAAAAACTAAAGCACCAATGCTTTAAAGAATGGTTAAATTCCTCTTTATTGAATACATTACTTAAGAATAATACATTACAGTTGGGTCCCTACACAGTTTCTATTGGTTCTTTGGAGCTGGAGGTGAAAGTGTGCTTGGTTGCCACCAGATTTGTGCTTATATAAACATGTTCGTCGGTAATTGTTGAATGTGTTAAATATGCCTTGAAACTCCAATTTGAATCAAAATACACTATTATGTAATATGTTGATTAGTTTTTTTCCCCTCATTTCAAATCCACTTTCTTATTATGTCTGTTTTTATTCTGCCATGAACAAAGTTAGACAAACTTTGGAATTTCAAAAATGGCTAGGCATCATATCGTAACCAATAACTTACTATTTTGTGCTACTCAATGTGTTTGCTTTTAGATTAAGGATTGGTTCACAACTTGGAAATCATAGGTTTGATGGACATAATAGATTGATAGAACCGAGTTTTACCCCCTGTTTTTTTGCTCAGCTTTAGTTTATGCCCTGTATATTGAGATAATTTTAGCGTTGGTAGTCTAGCTATCTTGGGTTGTTTAGACATCTGATGTAGAAATGGCAATGGGCAGGTCTGGGGCGGATTTCTTGGTACCAAGATCCGCCCCATGGCAGGTCGGGTTCAGGTCGGGTAATTTATTATGGACGATCCAAACCTCAATTTTTCCAAGAAAACAAATAATATTATGATAAATATAATTAAATTATTGGGAAAATTGAGGTTTTCACTAATTTCAACTTTATCATAGCTAAAATATGATATCATTAAAGGAAAATTCTTAGTAATTTAGACAAGAACGGGTCGAGAATGGTGCGGATCAGGACAGATCGGGTCGATGAGAGTACCCATGCCCGCTCCGCCCCACCTACGGGGCGGGTCGGACCTGCCCCGAAACAGACAAAAAAGGTTGGGTAAAACGGGTTAGGTCGAAATTGCCATCTCTAATCTGATGCCAATGTCCTCCATTCATAACTAAAAAAGGAATCACCCAACTTACAAGGGTAAGTATGTATGTTTTGGATTTGGATCATTCATAACTAAAAAAGGAATAATCACCCAACTTACAAGGGTGAGTATGTATGTTTTGGATTTGGATCGTCCATTCCCCCCCCCCCTCCCCTCCAGCTTAACACACAAGGTAATTGTGGTTGTTGGAGATTGAATATTATAATATAACTAGCTTTTACCCGACCCGTTGGTCGGACGAATTTTATAATTAGTTCATAATAATCATTTCATTAAAATTTTCAAATAATTTGAAACATTCGAAATTTTTTTTTAAAGAATCATAGTTATCTTGCCACTACTTATAATTGTGACATTGCTAATTTTTGAATGAGATATAGCAATGAAGATATAGCAAACCTATTGATCATAGTGCACTTTCACTAAGAAACCTATAGCAATTGACTTAATAAAAACTGGCGAACTCCACCAAGTTATCTAAGAACAGTTTGATTATTCCCCTCGTTTCACTTTACGGTGCTCAGAGGTGGCAATTGGATCGGATTCGTGGATTCGTGGATTGGATTGGTGGATCCATGGATCAAATGGATTGGATCCAATGGATTGGTGGATTGATCCATGAATCCAAATGACATCCAAGGTTTGGACCAAAATGTAAATTTTGAAAAGTTTAGGTACTAAAATGTCTTAATGAAAAATTTTAGGTACCAAAATGCAATTTTACAATGATATTTTTTGTATAAAAATATAAATTTTAGGTACCAAGATGTAAATATAAAAATATAGGTACTAAATCGTAATTTGTCATATGGATTCATGGATTGATCCATGAATCCACCAATCCAATTGGATTTGGATCAAATGGATTGAATTTAAATGGATTGGATTAAGTGAATAATTTGGTAGATGGATTGGATTCATAGATTTGGATCCTAATTGCCACCTCTACGTGCTCCTATTTGGTTCAACACTCTAATGGTGAGAGACTTCACTGCTTCTTTCATCTATTTCGCTACATCAGGAGAAGCAATTAAGCAAAGTTAAGGGCAATGACAAACAAAATAGGAGAAATTATTTTAATTCAACTGTCCTAACACTTAAACTATATCCCATCAGAATATGTTGTTAAGGCAACTCTGATAGAGATTCTAAAGACAAAATATGGCAGCTAAAATCTCAAAGACAACATTTTAATAGCCTGAATTGCAGTAGGTAAACCTTATTATGTTGTGGTCTGAGTAAAACATAAATTATTTCTGCCTTTATTCACAGAATTAGCACATACCAAAAAGAAAGAATTGGAGCATTCTGCTATGTAAAGTCATGGCTGCTAATTGAAATACCAAAAAGTATTATGAACTATATTTCCAGCCCATTCAGCTCCTACTCAGTTTCTCATAATTATATAGTGATACGAAATCTAAATCGACTATGTAAACAGTACAAAGAGTATTGGTTAATTAACACGGTTGGGGAACTCTCATAAACTAAAGTCCATATGTTAACACCTTTCACTCAACCCTTCAAAATTTCATGTCACAATTCACTACATGATCAGATCTTCATAGGTATAACAAAAACAAAGAATTTATGCAATTTGAATTTCACCCCAACACAAGAATTGCAGAATCCTCCAACCCAAACTCCTCAACTTTTTCATTTGGTTCTGATAGGTAGTCTCTAGGAAGAGCTCGAATGAGGCTGAAAGCATACCAGTATATGACTATTTGTAGCTGAATCTCACTGAGAACATAAAAGTGAGCTCAGCAAGCCTGTGTGAAAATAAATTCAGTTTAGAAACCACTCACCAAAACACAAAAAGCACAAGAACACGTCTCGATTCCATATTAAATCTTCCAAGTTACAGTGTAGACCAGTAAATATTTTGCAACAACGCAAGAACAACACAACAAACAGAAATTAGTTATATCTTAAAGATGAAAACAGGCATGTCAAGTACAAAAGGTTTCTCGCTTATAGTTGTCTTCCTTCATGAAGTCGAAAAGAGAACCGACTCCATGTAATCAAATCCGATATAGCTCTCTCGACTTCATCTGTTTGTCTTACAATCAAGATCATTACAAAAATAATTGGCAATCATGGATTAGGGTAAGAAGCAGACGGCTAATGCACTTTGAATGGTCCAAAGCTTCAAAAAGAATATCCAGTTCATCCAGATACCTACACACCTGAACCGACGATGAAGCTGCTAGGAAGCTATTTTGCAGAAAAGGAGAAGAATGGACCGGAAACAATGCACAGAGAGGTAAGGCGCGATTCATAAAGGATGCGTTGTCAAGAATATAAAGCAGTTGCAAGGTGATTCAGCTCAAACAGATAACTCGGGGTCGGAAAGCATAACTCGTTGGTAAGACTTGCCAGAATGGTTGTTGAAAGTAAACAAAGTCATACATTCGAACTAATATACAGAACAAACACGTCACAGAGAGAATATATTTCTACCCTAGAGTATCATTGTGACAATGAAATTAACCTGATGGCCTAGAAGTAACGACCCAGAAATATGGATATACCTTATTTGTCTATGAAGAAGTTTCCTCCTCCTTGCCCTTTCCCTTGATTATAATGACAGGACATTGTGCGTGGTTTGCACAATAGTTGCTTACACTCCCCAAGAACATCCTGTCGACGAACACCAGATGTTAGCACATCACTTGTGTTCTTGTGTAAGATAAGATCACAGCAGTCCTAGTGAAGCTAAGATGTTTTCACAAATAAACACATATTTAAGATAACTTCATACATGATCTACCCTAATCTACCATTTGAAGGCATGTCTCTACCAAACCATTGAATCTTGTTTACACATTAGCTTCTACATAACCTGTGACCCTGCAATTATCTCTACAACTCTTCGTCCACAGAACAGAATCTAGCCCAAGGAAACCCATCAACATCTTGAGCTCAAAAGGACACCAGTATATGGCATCCCCAATCACCAAACACCATCAACCAATAATGAACGGCTTAGTTTCAAGTACACCACCTTTTGATAGCACCAAAGTCTCGGGAGCCCATCACCAGCAAATCCGCATTAAGACTCTCCACAACTTCACATATCTTGTCTTTGGGATCTCCAATCACCGCCTTCCCACAGAGCTCCGCTTATCCCAGTGAGTGAATACTCGAAGCAGCGGCGCTCGCTGCGGGGAGTCGAGGATGAAATCCGCCGCGCCTGATGCTTCAATACCGCTGAATCGACCCGAATGTCGCCACCCCGAAATACCAGGAGCAATTTCAGGCTTGTGGGGACGCCGTCTCCGCCCGGTGATACTTGATCGGAGATCCAAATACTCCAAACTCGAAGATCTGAAGACAACCCCCAGGTTTCCGCACAGCCTCAACCCGTCGACCAGCCGGCTCAACTCAAGCTCGGCGAAGATGGGCTCTCTTACGTCATCTCCAATCACCAATTTTGAGGAACCGACTTAGACCTCGAACTCGAGCAATTTAACAGATAAGGACCATCAAACGCGATGGTATGGCGCAATCGATAAGGGAAGAGGACAGACAGACAACAACTTCTTCTTCTTCCCACCTCCGATTCTCTCTTAATAACAGTAGAAAAAAACAAAGGAACTGATGCGAAGGGGAAGAGGAAGGAGCTTTGCCTCTGGATTTTGTTGTTTTGCACGCTTCTTCAGTGGACCATTTCCTTCCTAGAAAATAAAAAATAAATACAAATTAAATGAGAACGTGGGCATGGCAGGAGAAAAGGTGGGTAGTGGACAGTTTTTTTAGGGTTGGCAACCCTGACCGACCCATCGGATATCCACCCGAAACCCGCCCGAATTGTGACCTAAAAATCCGTCCGTTGTGGGCTTTTGGCGGATTCGGGTTTACCCGAAACCCGTGAGTTGCGGGCGATGGGTGGCGACGGTATTAGTGGTATCCGCCCCGCCCCCGCCCCGAATCATAAAAAGACGTCGTTTAGACATCGTATATAAACCAAACAACGAGCTCTGCCAACCCTAATCTCTTCATTTTCCACTCTCCGTCCCAAACGACTGCTCCCATTCCTCTCATCTTCCTCTTCGAGAACCTCCCGAAACCCTAGCTTCTTTCTCTCCATCGAATCTCCCAAACATCTAATCCGCTCAAAAATCTCGCTGTTCCCCACGATTTCCTCCCAATCCAGCTTGTTTATACAATTATGATTGCCAGTAGGCAATCATTATCTCTCAATTTGGCCAATTGGATGCTAGTTTTGCCGGCGATTTCGTCGGGAAACAGCATGCAGAGCCCTAAATTGCCCGCTGCAATCTTCGATTTGCAGCTATTGGGGGAAATCGGCGTGATATCGCACATCGAGCGAGATAAGTTCTTTCTCCCTTTTCCTTTCGTATTCTGCTGCACTTTCTTGCCTTCTTCTCGTATATAAATTAACCCCTCGATTAATTTCAGGTCACTGGTCAGCCTAACTTCTTCCTTAAACCCATTACCTGCACTCTGCTCAGAGCACAGTCGAGGTAAGCACAAACTTATAACATTATTTTTCCAGATTCATGAGCTGTCTCTATCAGTCGATGCATGCTAATTTTATTTTGTTTGTTTTGGCTTTGTTTGGGAGTTCTTTAGCTTCGCATTAGGCATCAACTCAGTGCTCACCATCTGCAGTCTGGTGAACAGAGTCTCCCTCTCCAGATTACAGGTTAGGCATAACCTTGGTCCAATTCAACTCTCGATTCAGTCGATTGTAATTTGTATTGTGTGTTGTGTGATTTGTCTGGGTAGTTAATAGTTATGGTTGATTGATCATTTGATTGAATGTAATCATTTAATTGTTTATGTAGATGGATGGTGCTACTGAAAATTGTGCTTTGAATGCGAATGATCCTACTGTGCCTTCTAATCAAAACGGTAAATGTAATGGTAATGGTAATGGTAATGGCAATGGCAATGGTAATGTTAATGGTAATGGTAATGCTACTGCTACTGCTAATGGTTCTGGGAATGATTCGTTGACTAATGGAAATAAAAATGTTGAAATAATTCTGGATGAAGATCGTAAATTGACTTCTGATGTCTGGCCACATTTTGTGAGGGTGAAGTTTAATGGGGAGATTAAAGCCAAGTGTAAATACTGTCGAAAACGTTTAGGTGGTGATACTAGTAATGGAACCTCCCACTTGAGGAACCATTACAAAACTTGCACCCAAAGAAAGATACATGATGGTAGGCAGAGAGTTCTTGGTCCTGATTATAAACCAACTGGAAAACCCCTCCTATCTGCTACTCAATTCAATTCTGATGTGTCTAGGAAGGAATTGTGCTCTATGATTATGGTGCATGAGTATCCCCTGAACATTGTTGAACACATGGGGTTTAAACGTTTCTGTTGTTCTTTGCAACCCCAGTTCACTGTCCCTTGTAGAAATACAGTGAAGAGGGACATATTTGCTTTATATGGGGCTGAGATGGCAAAGCTTCAGAAGGTTTTAGATGGTAATATTGGTAGAGTTGCAGTCACGACTGATATGTGGACTGCAACTAACCAAAAGATGGGGTATATGGCGGTTACTGGTCATTTTATTTACAATTCTTGGAAACTTAAAAACATGATGTTGAGTTTTATCTATGTCCCTGCCCCTCATACTAGTAAGAGGTTGGGAGATAGGTTGTTCAAGTGTTTTCTTGGTTGGAATCTTGATAGAAAGTTGTCCTCGATTACCTTGGATAACTGTACCACCAATGATGCCATGATTACTCATATGAAAACTAAACTTGCTATTGATGATCTGTTGTTGGATGGTGTGCTGGTTCAAATGAGATGTTCTGCTCATGTTTTGAATCTCATTGTGAAAGATGGGTTGGAAGTCATCAAGGATGGCATTGAATTGGTTAGAGATTTTGTTGTGTACTGGAAGTCCACTCCTAAGAGGGTACAAACCTTCTTTGAAACTGCTAAGCAGCTTAAAGTGCCTTGTGAGAAGCAACTTGTGCTTGATTGTCCAACTAGGTGGAACTCCACCTATGATATGCTATTTACTGCCATTGTGTATATAGATGTTTTCTCTCGTTTGAGGCAGTGGGATAGTCAATACACCACTGTCCCTACTAGTATGCACTGGGAGTTTGCTGCTATGGTCATTGATAAGCTGGAAATTTTCAGTGAGATCACAAAGCTGTTTTCTGGCAGCAAGTATCCCACTGCTAATTTGTTTTTCCCCAAGGTTTGTGATCTGAGACTGAAATTGTTGGAATGGTGTGCTGATACCAATTCTCTTATCTCGGCTATGGCTGAGAGTATGTGGGAGAAATTTTCTAAGTATTGGGATGATATACACTTGGTTCTCGCTATGTCAGTGGTTCTTGATCCTAGATACAAGTTGCATGTGATTGAGTATTATGCTTCTAAGTTTGGCAGTACTTGATAACACCCAACCAGGGTGTTTGATTTCAATCCGAACTTGAAACAAACAAGCTCTGCAACTTGAACGAGAACCAAGCCGCCAATCGTCAATTTAATAGAACAACAATGGTGGAACTCTTGTGCAATCCTACACCTGGAGGAAGGCTCAAGGAGTATAAGTCGAAGCTCGCCCACGATCAATGTGGATTTTGATCGATACAAGAGCAAAGTCGAACTTGGTTTTCCCGGCCAAGCTCTCAACCAAAAACTATAGCTACGAGACTTAGTTTTTAGGGTTTTCTCTTATTCTCCAACTTAACTTTCTTACAATACGTTTGCAAACCTTAAATAGAGATTACAAGTATCCTGGGAAATGAAAGAAACCGAACCCAACAAGGTAAGCCAAAATATTCCTAATTCTAATACAAAACGGAAACTTAAAATGCAAGTAACTAGCTGATGTTGATACCAACTTTGAGACCCTCGTTCTCCATCCTCCCAACTCCAATTGGGTCACCCAATACCTTGTTTCTGTACTAGAAAATGCGAACTTTCATGTGGAATAAACCTTGAAGCCCGATTCCCAGCCGTTTGTCGTGCCCTGAGCTTCGAAGTGGCCTTCTCGGAACTGTCCCATGCCTTAGGCAAAAACTGGCAGTTTGCCTGTGTTGGGATAGACTTTTGATGAGCCCGAAAACCACTCTTCCCAGCTTCAACTCGAGCTTCCAGACACTCCACGTCGCAAAGGGAGTTACCATATTCAAAATAAACCTTCCGAACCCCATTTTCATCCATCCAATCGAGAGAAATATACTCGCAAAGAGAGCTACCCGAAACAGCTTCCACACTTAGCCAAAATCCCAGGTCTTTCCAGCAAGTTGAATTGGGTTCTTGTCTCAACAATTTCCACTTGTAGATCGATCCGTTTGGGATCATATCAAGCCCCCCTCTTCAAAAAGCTTTGCCCTCAAAGCTGGCCCTTTCCTCCTCTCAAAATCGTCACAAAACTGACTCCAAATAGGGTCGCAAAACGGCTGCTCGAACCACGTTTTCTGGAAAACGCAGGCACTGTTCTTCGAGCTGGAAATTGGGGATTCTTGATTCCAGCGTCGTTGGCCCAATTCATTGTCTCCAAAGCATCCTTTCACCCTCCAATCGAACTCCTGAAACTGCCCCAACCTTCGATTCTTCCTCACTGGCGTTGAATTGACGAATACATTTTTCCCGCCGGCGGCCGAATTTAAAATCGGGAAACCCAGAATTGTCAATCCCAATTTGGGCGTCTCGTTCTCAGATTGCGGTGGTAGCAATTGAAGCCGCCTACAGCTTCCTGGGACTTCACTTGACGATTCCACATCAGTCGATTTGGTCGAATCATCGCCAGTTCTCCCAACCCATTCAGGTCCATTCTGCTCGTGCTTGCGTTCCAACAGGGGCATGGGCACTCGAATGCGACCCTGCAAAACAAAAAGAATTGTCTCCAATGGAGCAAGGGAAAAACTTCCCTGGGTGCAGGGGAACACGTCAGGCGCTTTGGTTGGAGTCGGAGAGCTCTTAGGAGTCCCCCCCAATAATGCCTCTCTCCTGCCCTGTTCTGCCGCCGCCGGAAAACAGGGGCTGGTTTGAGAGCTCGCGCGGCGGAGCTTTTCCCGTCTCAGGGCCGTCAACATGAGTCGTCCCGAGTTTAGACCCGTCCTTAGTTTCCCTTCTCGTTGTGCCTCGTCAACTTTAGCTCGATTTGCGGCCAACTTCAGCTGATCGGAGTGAACCTCCGACGGGGACAACGGCTTTAGGACCATGTTCTTCCCACCGAATCTGAATTTGTAACAATTGGTGCCTCCATCGTGGGTTACGGCGCGATCAAATTGCCATGGTCTCCCCAACAAAATATGGGCAGCTTTCATCGGCGCAACATCGCAAAGCAATTCGTCCTTATAATTACCGATTGCAAAATGGACTCGAACTTGCTTAGTGACCTTGATCGACCCGTAATCATTGAGCCAATGCAATTGGTATGGC